GTCGCTCCTTTGACGCCGACGTGACTCACCCGTGCACATTCATCAGGACACGGTCTCGACGCGCTCGGTACGACGCCTGTGACCCGTCTCGGGTCAGGTGGCACGACGCTCATCGCGCCTGCCAGCGCTGCCGTGCAAGTTGCCACGACGAGGTCGATCACGCTTCTATACGCTCGTCCAGCCTTCCTTTCCATCCCATTAGGCAGCCTGGGAACGGTGGCGAGCAGAGGCAAAGCCTACGAGGGGTGGTGGAACCACATGTCACGCCTACTCTGCCGGCTCGACCCTAGCCTCCGACGGCTGACTTTGAGGCACCATCATCGGACGAAGGATGTCGACGTGTTGGTCGCTCTCGCGGTAGCCAGATGACCTCCCATACTAGTATCATCGGCCATGGCCGCAGGAAGCGCGGGGGAGCGGGGAGAGCGCTGGGAGCAACACGGAGCTCCGTTGGACGCGTTTTCAAGACACAAGAGATTAGCGGGTCAGAGAGTGAATTGGACTAGCCTTTGTTTCTTTCTTAATTTATCTCGACGTGCTCCACAGGTGCTCCACCGCACACATACTATACACAGAGTGGTGTGGCGCAAAGCGGGGCAACCCTCCGCCTCGTGACCGCACACCGGCTTAAATACAAAAGAACACCCGCCGCCCAAGCCCCCGCGCGCAATGAATCTCGTTAGGCGCCGCCGGCTTCGAAATATTCGCGCAAGCGGCCCGCCTCCCACCCGAGCGCCCCCGGCGGCGGCTCGACGTCGTCGCAAAAGTACTCGCCCTGCAGCTGGGCCACGAGCGACGCCTGCAGCGCCTGGATCTGCTTTAAAGTCTCCTCGACGCCGCCTCCGCCGCCGCCTGCTCCGTTGCCGCCGCCGCCGCCGCCACCGGCCGCCGCGCGCGCCTGCAGGCTGCACGAACCCTCCAGGCACTCGGCCGGCGACAGCTCGAGGCGCTCGTCGCCGCCGAAGCCTCCGATGGGGCGCGAGGGGAGCCTGTCGAGCATCGCGCACTTTGCGGTGCAGGTGATCACCTCCTCGTCGCCTTGGGTGAGGATCCTGCCAGAGACGGTGACGAGCGGCGGCGAGACGTCGACGATGGCCGCCTCCGCCTTGTAGACCACGCCGGGCGAGGACGGCTTCTTGAAGCGGACCGTCATCTCGCTCGTCACCATGTCGGGCGCGATGTTGATCTTCATCACCTCCGCCGTCAGCTCGTCCAGCACCGCCTCTAGCAGCCCGCCGTGCACCAGCGTCGAGCGCCACCGCGTCGACGTCTCGTCTTCCACCGCCGACCAGCCGCCGACCGCCTTTTGGGAGTACGCGACCGCCGCGACCACCTTGAGCGTCGACGAGTCCCAAAAGTAGCGCAGGTCGAGCCCGCGGCCGGCGCAGGCCGAGTCGCCGTGCGTGTAGCCCTCGTCCGCGTGCAGCGCGACGCTGCGGCTCTCGCCGTCGGCGCCGCCCTTGATGTGCGGTTGGCTGCTCTCCCAGAAGAGGATGTGCTTCTCGAAGGGCAGGATGTGCTTGGCCTTGTGCAGCTGGCGGAAGTGGGGGTCGTCGGCGGGGATGAGGCCGTGCGGCCGGTCGGGGATGCCGCGCGCGAGCGCCGCGTCGCGGTACACGCCCGCCTTTTGCCGGTCGAGCTCGGTCACCTTCTCCCACCACGGCGCCTTTTGCGCCGCCTCTCGCGCGAGCTCGAGCGCGGCGTCCGCTTCGATCTGCGCCGGGCTGCGCAGGTCATGCTTGGCCTCCAGCTCGCGCGCCGCCGCGCGCAGCTTCGGGTTGGGCGGCGGCGTGATCTGGCCTGCGACGAGACAAGCGCGCGAGACGTGTGCTCTGCGCGATATGGGCTTGCGACGAGACAAGCACGCGAGACGCTCCCGAGCGTGCCGTTCTATCCATACATGCGGTGCAAATGGACGGCGCGCTTCGGTGGAGAGAGGCGTGGCGGGCGAGGCGGCATGGGGTGGAGCGCGGACCGCCACTCGCAAAGAACATTTGCAGCTCGGCCTCGGACCACTCGCTCTTGGCCTCGTCCGGGAGCGCTGTGGCGTCGCCGTTGAACTGCGCAGCGAGCTCCTCGGCGAGCTCGTCAAAGTCGGTGAACGGCTCGCCACGGGGAGGCGGGCGCATCGTGTGGAGGGAAGTCTGGCGCGACGGCGACGACGCAGTTTCGCACCACAAGCTACAGCAAGCTGGGTTCCAACTTTTTGCGGGGTATGGTATGGTGACTCGCGGGGTATGGTATTAGTTTTAGTTGGTATGGTGTCATCACCACAAGCAGCTGCCGCCTGGCAACAAAAATAATGCTTATGTGTGGCGAAACGGGAAAAGTAGTCTCTTCACGTGCCGCGGACAATCGAGAGCGCTACATCACACACGCGTGCACGGCGCTCGCGCGCGCGGCTGTCATCAATGTACGTCCTTTTAGCTTACGGGAGAAGCGGGAGGGGGGGTTGTGTTCTCTAGGCCCCTCTCTCATGTATGTCACCGGGCACCGTCACCACAGATGACGACGGAACCCCCGCGACCCCCTCGGCGAAAGCGACGCGGCGCGCGGGAGTTGGAAGGTGCGCAAGGACTTTTTGGGGCAGGCGCTGCGAGAGTGTCGAGTTCCGGCGGTGCGAGCCGGCCCCTCTCGCGCGGTCCCGCCGACACACGCCCTGCCGCCTCGGACCGCTTGCTTGCCCCACCCTGCCGCCGCACTCCTCGCTGCGCCGTGTCGCGCGCCACACCACCGCTCGAACGTCTCCCGGATCACTTCAGCCCGGGGCCGCGCACTCGGCCACCACCTGCTAGCGATGGCCCTCCACACCCCACGTCCGGCGCCCCCGCGAGACTGCGCCGGCCCGCCACTTCACTTTGTGTGCGACACATCATCGCCCGCCCGTCCCAGGACTTTTTGCACCGGGGAGCGAGCGGCGCGATGGCGCCGGCGGCCATGCCGGGCATCTCCAAGGGCCGCTGGACGCCCGACGCGGAGGGCCGCGCTCTCCTCGAGACGATCTTTCAGGCAGACAATTTTCCGGCGCGGCCGGTGAGGCTGCAGCTGGCCGAGGCGCTTAAGGTGAACCAGCGGCAGATACAGGCGCGGCTCGCGCCCGACGCCCCTCCCTCCCTCTCCCTGTCGCCCTCCCCTCTCCTCTTCCATCAGCGCGCCAGCGCGAGGGCTCCCTTTCGAAGCGCCGCCCAGCTCCTGCCGCCGCCGCGCAGGTATGGTTTCAGAACCGGCGGCAGCGGCTCAAGCGAGAGCAGGAGGGGGGGTTGGGAGGCGAGGGGGCGGCGGGCGAGGGGGCAGGGAGCGAGCTCGGCGGCAGCGGCCCGCGGGGTGAGGAGACGCCACCTCCGGGCAGCGCGCCGCTGTTTGGGATGCAGGCGCATCCGGGCGCCGGCAGCAGCAGCGTGGAGGGCGGAGGCGGAGGGCGGAGAGAGGCGACGCGGTGCCTCGCGCGGCTCCTCGAGTCCCGCAGCGGCGCCCGAGCGCTGCGCGGCGCGGCGCGTGCGATGCTGCACAACAACCCGCTGATGAGGCACCCGCGGGCGCCGTGCCACCGCCTGCTCGCGCAGCTCTCGACGCTCGAGATCGAGGCCGAGGCGGAGGGGGAGGGGGCGCCGCCGCTGCAGAGCGCGCCGACCGACGTCGAGGCGCTGGAGGGGCTCTCGTCCCTCTTCTACAGCAAGGGTGGCAAACCCTCCAGCTAAGGGGGCGCGCTTCCCTTCGAGCGCCCTCGCCTCCGCTCGGTTTCCGCTGCATGCTTGCGCGCCGGGGCGACCACACCTGTATCATGCGCCCCCTTCCTCTCCCACCCACCGCCCTCCCCGTGTCTTGTCTCTCTGTCGCCACGCTCCCGTATGCGCCTCTGTTGAGAGGTGGCTGGAGATCAGTGTCCGAACCCTCGCGCGCCCCGTGCACGCAGTGTCCCGCTCTCTCGAGCGCTCTCTCGCTTATCAGGCCGCCCGCGCAACCGCGGCCCCTCATACCATGTGACCTATTAGGAATCTCTCACTGTGTGACGCACGTCGCTACTCACTCGCTCGTATATTTAGGTGTCTCTGTCTGACGATCTCGGGAAAAGCTGGTAAGCTCACATACCGTTTTGCGTTTTACACACCCCCGGGGCCGAGCGTTTTTGATCTCTCGGTAAGTGGGGGGCCGAGCCGCCTCGGGGTGGCGGGCGGGCGGGCGTGTTGAAAAACAGAAAACAGAAAACAGTGGGGGGCCAGGGCCCCCACTACGATTAGACACACGCACCTGGCTCCTGGGACAAGGCGAGAACGCGCAGCATGTGCAGTACCGTTCAGCGGAGGGGGGGGGGGGGAGCCGAGGGGGCGACGTCCCGACACGGCAGCTTGGAGCTGACCCCGGGAGAGAGAGAGACGAGCGATGGCACGCCCCCAATGACCCTAGACAGACATGACGAGCCGACAGCGATGCAGCGGCAGCGAAGGCGGCGAGGAGAGCCCGCGCTGCAGAGCTCCGCCGGGCGGCAGCAGAGACATCGGCGGACGGGGGAGCACGGGACACGTCGGCATAGGAGCCAGGGGGGTGGGAGAGTTGAGTCAGGTGCAGCAGCACCGTCTCGGCAGCGAGGCCGACGATGGCGACGGCGGCGACGTAGGCGAGACGGTGGCGAGGGTGGCGACGGTCACGATGAAGGTGGCTTGACGAAATGGATGACGCCATCGCGCAACATGACATCCTCGATGTCGTCGTCCTCTAGGCGGCGCGCAGCGCCGCTCTCGCAGGCTGTTTTTGACGGTTTCTACACTTTGTTTTTGTTTTCAGTCTAGGGGGCCCGACCCCCTCAGAGGCAGCGGGCGGGCGCCCACTTACCGAGAGATCAAAAACGCTCGGCCCGGGGAGGGCGGGGGTAAGTAAGGTAAGGTAAGGTAAACGTCTCCACACACACAAAGTGGTGGGGCAAGGGGGGGCGACCCTCGCATCTCCACGCCCGGGACACGGGCAGGAGCCCCACGGCATTCAAAGTGCAAGCACCGGCCCGGTGCCGTGGGTGAGCAACCTGCACCCCACTCCCTCCCTCTCAGACACAACCCGCACACAATCCCCACAGCGTGGTCGTCTACGTGTTCAGAAACACCAAGCAGCGAGGCGAGGGTGAAGGGGTAAGGGGCTGTGTGGGGCAGAATCTTCATCCGGCTTATCTGTGACTACTCCATCTAGCCTGGGGGGTCGCAGGAGGGGGGGGCAGAAGGTAAGATATGGGTGAGGCCAGGGGTGGGGACCTAGAATAAGGGGCGGGGGGACGAGGGCCGAGGCGGGCCCTCCCGAGGGGGCAGAGCGCCCTCTGTATAGCGCGCCCACCTACGGAAAGCCGTGTAGCCCGTTGGGCGTTGGGCCGTTGCAGAGAGCACACACCGGTCCGCGCAACGCACACACGCGTGAGGGGATGTGAGTCTCATCTCGGTCGAGTGGTCCTCTGGGTCCATAGAGACAATACACTGTGCATGTGCATGTGCCAGTGTGCAAACTTTACCGGTATGAGACCGGTATTTGGCGATATTTTGATTAACTTTGGAGTGGTATGGTGTAGTGGTATGCGAAAGTGGTATGCGGGGTTTTCATTAGTTGTAGCGGCTGTCGGTGTGGTCCCGGGGGCGAAACCATGCAAAAGTGCGGGTATTACCCGGGTATACCCGGGTTTTTCCAGGTATACCCGCAAAATACCCGGTATTTTGCCGATTTTGCCGATTTTGCCACCAAGAAGGCACTCCGACTCGCTTTGATTTCCGTGAGGCAACTGGTATCCCGTACCACTTTTTGATTAGTGCAGGCCTTGGGTTTGATTAGCCAAAAACTCCCATACCGGTAAAGTTTGCACACTGGCATGTGCATGTGCATGTTCGAAACTGTGTGGCGCTGGATGCCGCGACGCAAACCTGTCTACGACTTTCGCCACGTCGGGATGGTTCATCAAGTGGCAGGGAGCTACGATCAATTGGGGCTCGAAGAAGCAGCCCTGCGTCGCCCTTTCATCGTGCGAGGCTGAGATCATCTCGTTGTCCGAGGCGACGAAGGACATGGTCTACTTTCGCCGTCTTATCTCCGACCTCGACCTCGGCGCCGTCGACGGTCCCTCGGAGGTCTCCTACAATCCCGAACACCACGGCCGCATGAAGCACGTCGATCGGCGTCACTTCTTCGTGCGCGACATGGTGGAGAAGTTCGAGATTCGCGTCCCCTGGATCGAGGGCGAAGGCAACGTGAGCGACTTCCTCACGAAGCCGCTCACGGGCTCGACGCGGTTTTTCAAACTTCGCGACGAGATCATGAACGTGCGCGGCCAGACCGCTCACGTCGTGAGCGGCGTCCGCTTTGCGTGAGCGGCCCCGCGCCCGCGAGATCCAATCTCGCGCTATATCATTCACGCTCCGGGCAGCTGAGGCCTCCCCTGGTCGCTGCCCGAGGATTGCTCTCCCACAGCTTGTGTGTCATTACCCATTCGTTCCCACTCTCGTGTGTCATTACTATTGGGATCGCACACCCTTGTTGACTCGTTACGTAACCCTTGTTGATTGCGGATGTGCTCGTCAGTCACTTGTGCTGCGGCTTGTGTGAGCGACACTGCTCGACGACTGCCGGCACACTGTGGCTCGACGACTGCCGGCACACTGTGAGACCATGAGTGTGAGGTAAAGTCCCGCTACCAGCGCTTGGTCACATCGGCCCCGAGGTCAGATCCTTCTGCTCTGTTGATGACAACACTTGTCTACTCGCTGGAGCCGAGCAGGGGAGGGCCCGGCGCACAACCCCTGTGGTCAACTCAGGGTCCTTCCCCTTTATGCACATGCACATGTCATGCACATGTGCATGTGCATGCACATGTGCATGCACATGCACATGCGTTGGGTAAGACACACTAATCACTATTCGCGCGACGTCTAACCCTGCCAATGCATAGGCAGGACACACGGGTGCATATAGGGCCGGACATATGCATACGTTACACGGGGGCGCCCACGTCCCCCCACGCCCCAGATTCGCCCATTGGCCTCAGTGGTCATATCGGTCCAGGCGGCAAAACGGTTATTATTATTTACGGTACGTTTCGGCCTGATAGCAAATTTGCTATTACAGTTCGAGTGTCGCGGCAGGAAGCGCCCACTACAATGCCTGCTTGTCCAGGAGCGGCGCGTCGGTGCCACCATCAACACCGCCGGGCGCAGGCGCGAGCGCGTAATCTGCCTCCGCCGGGCGCGACGGAGCCCGCGGCGCGTGGGTGCCGTGCGCGCGGAGGAACGCCGCCGTGAGCTCCAGGGCGCGCGCCTGGTCGCGGGCCACGGCGGCGTCGCCGTCGTCGCCGCGCGCCACCCAGCCGTGCGCCTGGTCGGGGAACTCGATGCTGACCGTGGCCTCGTCCACGCCACGCGCGCGCGCCTGCGTGCGCGGCACCACGCCGCCGGGCTTCGCCTCCGGCTTGTCGTTGCCAGCGGGCAGCAGCAGCAGCGGCGTGTGCCCCAGCGCCTCTGCCAGCGCCTGCTCGCTGCCGCCACGCGTCAATAGCCGCTCCAGCTGCAGCGCCGGGTGGATGCCCACGACGCATTCGAAACGCTGCTGCTGCTGCTGTTGGTGTTGCTGCTGCTGTTGCTGTCGCTGCTGCTGGCGCTGCGACTCAACGGCGGCCTTGCACGCAGCCCATGCCCCCCAGCAGAAGCCCACGGCGGACACGGCGGACACGCCCTGCGCCCGGAGCTATGGTCATGCGGAACAGCACGACTACACTGTGGGCCTACACCACGACTACACTGTGGGGGGCGGGTGCTTGAGCATGCTTGACACGATCCGACCCTGCGACCCTGACGCTGCTGCGCTAGCTATCAGACATGTACTGCTGACTGCTGCCACAATGTGCGACCTGTGCTGGCCCACTTGGCGGCCTTCCCGGTCAGTGGTGAGGCGCAGTTCAGAGCTGTCGATGGCGCGATGCCGCACTGGTCCCACATTGGTGACACGAGACCACCACGTTTGCCGGTCCAAGAGAGAGGTACCGGCGCTGTCCTGAGAAGGTGCGTGGTCCCTCTTGACTGCCCATGCGCGCGAGGCTGCGTAGGCATAGCCTCGAGAGTGCCAGCAGCCAATCCGAGGCGACGCGCATTGCGCCAGAAGCGTGCACACGGTGGAAGGACACCTTCCTACTGACCGTACGATCAGGTCGTCACTGAATGCCGAAGACTAAGCTCTAAGGCCGCGAGCTATGCAGGCGGTCAGTTGAGCAGCATGGCACGGTCAGCAGCGCCGACAGGCTGTCGCAAGGCGTGATAGCATGGCGCCGCAATACGCCGAATTCCCATGAAAACAAGTAAAAATGGCGCGAAAAAAACGCGAAAAAATCGGCGCCTGCGGCGGGCCGTGGGACCCCATCTCCCCCCCGCATGGGTGCCCTCTAGGGCCCCCGCGCCCCCCCAGAGGTGCGTGCTACACCGCACCTGGTGGTAGGAGTAGCACACGTCCTCAATCGTCCCAACCTGGCTTTATCGGCCCTCCTGAGAGAACCGGCGGCGGCGCCGCGTTAAAGCCCTTCGATGCTTCAGACAAGTAAGTCGCGCAGCAGCTGTCCTTCCTCCTGGACAGCTGCGTTCTCTGGGTGCGCCTGCAGCGCCGCTGTCGCCGCCTCGGGCGCGCGTGCAGTTACAGCACGCCGCCTCCGCGCCCGCGCCGCGGCGCCGCTACCGCTGCACACGTTGCGCAGCGCCCAGCACCCAAACTCCTGCACTGCCTCCACCTGCGGGTGAGCCTGCATCGCCGCCGCAGCCGCCTCGATCGCGCCCGCGTCGGCTGCGCGCTGTATGCGTGCGAACCCCGCGGCGTCGTCGCCATAGCACACGTTGCCCAGCGCCCGGCAGCCTTGCTCTTGCACGCCCGCCACCTGCGGGTGAGCCTGCATCGCCGCCGCAGCCGCCTCGATCGCGCCCGCGTCGGCTGCGCGCTGCTCGCGTGCGAGCCCTGCGTCGTCGTCGGTGCCGGAGCACACGTTGCCCAGCGCCCGGCAGCCTTGCTCTTGCACCTCCGCCTCCTGCCGGTGAGCCTGCATCGCCGCCACAACCGCCTCGATCGCGCCCGCGTTTGCTGCGCGCTGCTCGCGTGCGCGCCCCTCGGCGTCGTCGCCGAAGCACACGTTGACCAGCGCCCGGCAGCCTTCCTCCTGTACGCCCGCCTCCTGCGGGTGAGCCTGCATCGCCGCCGCAGCCGCCTCGATCGCGCCCGCGTCTGCTGCGCGCTGGCTGCGTGCGCGCCCTGCGGCGTCGGTGCCGGAGCACACGTTGCCCAGCGCAAAACAGCCATACTGCTGCACATCCGCCACCTGCGGGTGAGCCTGCATCGCCGCCACTGTCGCCTCGATCGCGCCCGCGTCTGCTGCGCGCTGTATGCGTGCGAGCCCTGCGGCGTCGGTGCCGAAGCACACCTTAGCCAGCGCCGCACAGCCTTGCTGTTGCACCCCCGCCACCTGCGGGTGAGCCTGCATCGCCGCCACGATCGCCTCGATCGCGCCCGCCTCCGCCGCAGGTTGCCTGTTATGCACCTCTTTGCACAGAATAGCCAAGCGCTTGCACGCCGCAACAGCAACGCGGCTATCCGACACGTGCACGCGCAGCGCCGCCGCCGCCGCCGCCACGTCCATCGACCGCACCTCCGCATTGCTCGGGGGCGCGTCATGCGGCGCAGCGCCCACGCGCTGCCGCACCCGCCGCCCTCCCTCCTCGCCGCCCTCGCCCGCCTCCAGCGCCGCCACGCGCGACCGCAGCTGTGAGTTCTCCACTCCCTGCGCTGCCAACTGGGCCTGCAGCCGCTCGTTCTCCGCACCCTGTGCCGCCACTTGGGCTCGCAGCGGCGCCATCATGCGCTGGCACACGGCGAAGGGGCACGTCGCCTCGTGCGCCGCCTTGTCTGCCAGCAGCCCCGACCACGCGCAGCCAGCCTCCGCCGCGGCGCACGCGCGCGGCCGCTGCGGGCAGCCTTGCTCGTGGGCGGCGAGTTCGCCGCGGGTCGTCGCCACCCCGCAGTGCGAACACGCCGCCGGCAGCGCCGCGATACTCTCCTCGTGGCTTCGGCATCGAATCGCCTGGCTCAGCGGTCCGAGAGCCATGCGGCACTCGGGGCAGCGGCGCGGGGCTCGCAGGTTGGAGTCGCAGGAGGCGCAGAAGACGTGCCCCTCCCGGCACTGGTGCTGCTGCCCGTCCTGCACCTCGAGGCAGACGGGGCACTCCAGGCGCTGGGCGGCCATTCAGAAAAAGAAATCGCGGCCCCAAGGCATTTAAAGTGCAAGGCGTGGGAGAGCGGTGTGTGTGCGAAAAAGAAAGTGCGCGCGCGCGCGCGCGCGCGTGTGTGTGTGTGTGTGTGTGTGTGTGTGTGTGTGTGTGTAGGCGTCTGGGACGCTCTAAGTAATCGGCTCTGCATAAGTAAGTGGCGAGCACATCCCGAGCCGAGCCGCGGACACGGCTGTGGATCGGCCTCCCCCGGCGCGGATCTTGCCAAAGAGAGCACGGGGCAGCCCGGAGAGGTTCGTGCCGGCAGCAGTCAGGGCAAGACAACGGGAGAAGGCAATCCGAGAGGCCGAGATGGATCGAGCGGCCGCGGCGGCGGGCGAGAAGGCGGTCCTGGCGGAGCTTAGGGCGATCGGTCTGTCGCTCGCGGACAGCACCGGCGTTCTCAGGCCAGTGCAGACACGGGAAGTGCGGAGCCTGGCAAGATGACTGGACGAGGACATCAATCTCCCGCTCGCGGGTTGGCCGGCTGCGCCAGCGGCGCAATCTCGGGGGACTTGTAGTACATCCCGAACTCGGCGACATTGAGGCCCTCCGCGACCAGAAGTGTGTCGGCGAGTGGAGCGTGGAGCAGCTGCAGCAGCTCTCTCTGCGACACGGGCGCGTGCTCCTTCCTCATGGCGCTGCGGGCTCGGCGGCAGGCACGTCCAACCAAACCCCGCAAAAGTCCGAACCCAGACTCTCCGGCGCCGACACTGCATGCAGAGCGCGCCCCAGAGCGGCGCGCGAGCGGTGCCGACGCTGCAGGAGCTCGCCTCGGCGGTGGTCGCGCGCAGGATCGAACACTATGACTGCCCATCGCTGCCTTATGGAGCCGGTCCTGACTTCATTCGGCGCCTCGCTGCGGACCGGCGGTTGCGCGCCGAGACGCTCGCGCCGCTGCTGCGGTCTGCCCAGGCGGTCGACGACATGGAGGTGTGCCTGGGCGCGCCGCTCGCCCGGATGGCGCTCGGCTGCCACGGCGCGGCCGCGCTGGCAGCGCAACTGCTGGCGTCCCGCGAGGCGCTGGCTGAGCGGAGGAGGGAGGGACGGGTCGCGCAGCAGCTGCCTGATGGCACGCGCCTGGCCGTACCGTCGCCCGGTGCCGTACCTTGGGATCATGGGAGCTGCGATTTGCGCGTGGAGGCGCGACGATGAGACGGGCAGGGCATCTGCTGAGTATGGATGTATGGTATGTGTCAATTTACGCTCTCTGACGCGTTGTGGAGCATGTTGCAACATGCAGCTGTACAGCCTGCGTGCGGCTAGTACACGGCAATACAAAATTCACCCCGCGTCGCAATCTGCAATCTCAGCTCCTTAGTCCTTACGGAGGCGTACGTAACTCTCGTCTCTCCGCAGCGCACAGGGACTTGGAGCCGGTGGAGCGGCAGCGGGGGACAGGATCAAAAGAGATTGATCCATCTCAGTCGACGTTGCTCACTCGCTCCACCGCCCGCGTCACCATGTTTGGATACGCCTCCGCGCCGTACTTGCCAGTCGCGGGCCGCTTCCACAAGTCACTCGTCACGTAGCTCTTGACGAGCCAGCGATCGTTGCCGTCGAGCTTCGGCTCGAACGCCGTCCGGCCGTGGCAGCAGCGCACGTTGTTGAGGATGAGGCAATCGCCCGCCTGGAGGTCGACGTAATCGGCAACCTCGAGCCCGACCGCCATCATGCGCTCCCACGCCGCCTCCACCTCCGCGCCGCCCTCCGGACTGACCATCCGACCGACGGCGCCCTCGCCGTGCGCGCCGGCGTCGGGCACAAAGAGCGTCGCGGCGGCGGCGCGGCCCTCCCGCGGTGCGATCGGCAGGAAGGGCGCGCCCTGGTCGACTGCCGTGCCGTTGGGCAGCACCACCTGCGCCTGCATCTCGTGCTTCGAGAGCAGCGCCACGTCGGCGGCGGAGAGGCTCGCGATCAGCTTCTCTGAGTCAACCACCACCGTTCGCGCGACGTGCGACGGGTCCCCGCGCACAGCGACCAGCAGGAAGGTCTCCGGCTCGGGGAAGGGAGCGAAGACGCTCGCCGGGAAGTCCCTATGCAGCCCGAGCAGGCCGCACAAGTTCTCGACGCCGGGCACGGGAACCATGTCGCGGACGAGGCCGCCGCGGTGGCCCTTGTCGAAGAAGGGAGGCACAAAGGGGTGGCCGAGCAGCCGCGCGAGGCCGAGAGTCCACGACTCGGCCACCGGCACGCGCGGCTGTGCGAGCTCCGTGCCGATGCCATGCACCGCCGAGACGATCGGAGTGTCGGGCGGCGCCTCATCGACCGGCAGCCCGGAGAGGAGTAGGGCCGCGGGCGCGTCGGCGCTGAAGGGGAAGTCGAGCAGCTCCGACACGACGTCGCTCGGCAGCCACTTTGTAGCGTGCGCAAACGACGCGGCGACGGCGCGCGCGGCGCCGGCCGGGTCCTCCCTCGCATTGTAGCTGTGGATCTCGTGGCTCGGGGGGAAGTGCGACCGCCACGACTTGTGGAAGCCGTCGACGTCCTCCGGCCGGATCTGCAGCCGGCGGACAGACTCGCGCTCTGGTGACGCGGCCGCTGCGGCTGCGGCTGCCGCCGAGACTGCGCCGTCTGCCGCCGGGAGCACGTCGACCGTGTAGCCTGCGCCGCTCTCGCTGAGGCCGAGGGCGCTCCCTTCGGCGCACGCCTCGGCCCACGCCGTCAGGTGCGGAAGCACCGCCTCGATCCCCGCGTCGGCCTGGTACGGCTTCCAGCCCTGAGTCGCGAGGACGCGGCGTGGCGCGGCCGCCGCGGGCGTGGCGTCGAGGAAGCCCTTGGCGCGCGGCACGTCCGACTCAGGCATGACGAGGGTGATCGGGCAGAGCGGTTGCGGAGGGCAGTCGCCCGCAGCGAGGTCCAGGATCTCCTGCGCCCACGGCCACCCCACCCGAACGCCGGGGCCCATCTCGCGAACGCCCTCCTCGCGCCACGCCGCCATCCCGTCCTCGTCGACAAAGAGAGGCAGGTTGGCCTTCATGTCGAGCGCGGGCCCGAGCAGGAAGAGTCGGCTCACTTTCTCCGGATGCCTGGCCGCGAAGAGCAGCGCAACGAATGCGCCAAAGGAGCTGGCGCAAATTGAGACGGGACCCTCCTCGGCCTCGCAGCAGGAGTGGAGCACACGCAGAGCGGCACTGATGGTGCACTGCTCGTAGGAGTCGCCGCCGCCGGTGATGTCGGGCGCGACCACCTCCACGCCATGAACGGCCTCGCGGACCTTTGCGAGGCGCGGGTGAGCCGGGCCCTCTGGACTGACACCATGCACGTACACGAGCCGGAGGGCGGCCGCGCGTGCGAGCAGCGCGACGACGAGGAAGGCCGAGCGCATTCTTCGACGGGCCCGCTGGAAAGTCAGGCGGCGATCCAAGGAGGGTGGCGAAGAGGTCGACCGCGCTGAGGTAGAGAGCGGCACGTCTGAGAGCGGCGCCTGGGTCGATGCAGAGGGGGGGGTATGGCGAGGGAATCCTCCCGGAAACCGGCGTTTTTTCATGTGAGATCAACACGCCGAGCTCCGCCAATCCCCGAGGAAAGCGGCGGGTCGGAAAAATTGGTCGGCTTTGGTTTTCGAGAAAAAAAATCAGCCGCCGGCATGAGCGGCGCCAGCCGCCGCGCCAGCCTCCTCCTCGCGTCCCTCCCGCTCTCCGCTGGTCTCTGGGCGCAGCGGCCCGTGAGGCCTCGCGGCGAGCCTCGCGGCCGCACACCGCGTGCGGAGCACGCGGCAGAGGCGGAGGACGTCGTTCGCTGCGTGCGCGGGAGCGTCGACGTCGAAGGCGTGAGCATCCCAGTCGCGGTGTGGTGCCAGGATTCGAGGCGGCCGACCGGCGGTGGCGGCGCGTGGGTGCCGACGGAGGAGTACGGCTACACGGTTGACATTGGCCGGATCGCCTCCAAGCTCCGCGTCGGTTGGCTATCTTGGCTGCCGTCGAGGACCTACTCGCTCGCTCCGGCGGGAGTGCCTCCCTGGCGCGGCGCGGCTTGCGCGTCCCAGGCGCGCGCCGGCGACGCGCTCCTCTTCGCGCACGGCTTTCTCGGCTCGCCGTTCGACATGGCGCACGCTTGCGAGGCGCTGGCGAGCGACGGGTTTGTCGTCGCGGCGCCGGAGCTGCCCGAGTCGCTCGCCGCGTCGTACGAGGCGCGGGAGGGCGTGACGCGCGAGGCCATCGTCGCCGCGACGCAGGCGGCTCTAGGCGACGAGCCGCGGCGCTGGGGCATTTGGGGCCACTCGGCGGGGAGCGGCACGGCGCTCTCCCAGCCGGGCGAGTTCGCACTCGGCCGCGCGTGTCTCGCGTGCCCTCTCGGCCGCGCGCTCGAGGCGCGCGTCAACGATCCGCTCTTCCTCTGCGCGTCGGAGGGCGACGGCTGCAACCGCTTCTCGGAGACGTCGCCCGCGGACTCGCTCACCCTGGCGGCCGTGAACAAGGCGCCGCCCTTCTCGACCTTTGAGAGCGCCGACCTGGCCTACGCTGGCCCGAGCCTGCCCCGCCGCGGCGTCCTCCTCTTTCGCGAGGGCGACGCCCTGCTGCCCAACCACATCAGCTTCCTCTGGACGCGCACCAACGAGGCGCTCTTCGACCTGCTCTCCGCCTTCCTGCCGCTCGCAAAGGCGCTCAACCTCTTCCTGCTCGACTTTGACACGGAGAAGGAGGCGCGACTCGCCGCGCCCACCGCCGCGAAGGTCGTGCCGGCCCTGCGCCGCTTCTTTGGCAGGAATGCGGTCGGCGGGTAGGCGAAAAAATAAATACGAAGCAAAACAGGCGATAAGAATTCTTTTTCTCGCCGTAATTCTTTTTCTGACGACTGCGCAGTGTGGTGGCAGTTGTCAGCCTCGGGTTCTACACCCTGATGTCCTCGCGACGCACGCAGCGCTCGGCGCCCACCCCGCCGCCGCCGCAGTTCAGCTCCTACGGCGTCTCCGCTGCCATGTACAACCTGGACGTGGCGTCCCAGCAGACCGCGACACTACCCTCGCTCCCGCTGCGCATTCCTGCCGCCCTCGCCCCCGACCCGGACGGCGTCGCGCGCTCCAGCTTGATAGCGAGGCTTCCAGCGAACAGCGCGGCGCCTCCGCCAGTGAGTGATCCAGCGCAATCGTCGCCCGCCGTGATCGCGGCGCAAGAGCGCCACGTGCGCGCTGCAGAAGCGCACACGGCGGCTCAGGCGGCCATCAAGGCTGCACAGGCGAGAAATGCAGCCGCCCGAGAGGACTCGCCTGCTAGCACGGACGAGAGGCCACACGCACACCGGGAAGTACGCGCAACTTCATCTCTGGGGGCGAGATGCGGAGCAGGGACCCGTCTCGCCCGACTCCCACCGCCCAGGCGAGCTGCACGCCCGCGCACAATTCGCTCGGCCTCCCTCTCGAGGAGAGGCTGCCTCCTCCGCCGCTGCTCGGCGCTGAGAGGCTGGTGGCGGTGCGGCTGCGCGTCGACGGCGCCGCCCTCTCGCCGCCCCACCCGGAGGCTGTGTTTGAGGACGAGCTGCTCTGGAATGCCGCCGGCCCCGTAGATGCGGAATCTAGATGCCGGCATCTGGATGCGGTGACGCGTTCAAGCCTGCGGCGACGCCTTGCCTGAGACCGCACCACACAACCCGTGCGCCCGTGCCTGCCCCGCGTGTGCGTGTGCTCCTCCTCTCCCTCCCGTGCTAGGACTCTGCTCCCCGATATGTTCCGCGTAGGCCGGCGACACCTCGCTCTCGCCCTCCGACTTTGCGGCGGAGAAGGAAACGTCTTGCTCCCACCAACGAGCCCGAGGGGCGAGTGCCCCGGTGGGTGGGCGGACTATAGGCGCGCGCGGCGGAGGAGCTGTCGCTGCCTCCGCCTTTCGCGGCCGCCATCGCCACTGAACTCACCGCCCAGGTCGCCGCCGCTGAAAAGGCCGCACCGCCACAAGAAGCCACACACACGCCCCCGCCCCCGAGGGCGGCTGCCCGTCTCTTCGTCTCACTCCTTCCGGGACGTGAGCAGGCGGCGCGCGCCGCCGCAAAGGCTGCCGCCGCGGATGCCTCCCCAGTCGAGGTGAGCTGGCAGGCGCACAGGCGCGGGCTCGAGCTGAGCGACCGGCTGCTGTGGCCGCCAGGCGGCTCCTAGAGGAGGCAACAGGAGGCCCTCGCGTGTCGGAGATCGCCGCAGCCCGACCCGCGCCTCTCCACGGGCACACCGCCGCACACCGCCGCACACCGCCGCACACCGCCGCACACCGCCGCACACCGCCGCACACCGCCGCATCCTCGCGCCGCGCCCGCCCTGTGCGTCCTCCCAGTCCTCTCCCTCTCTCCCTCTCTCCCTCCCGCCCTCTCACTCAGGCGGCGGCGGCCTGACGCCGGAGGAGTACGCGCGGCAGATGGCGCGCGAGCTCCGCCTCCCTCCAGACTTGCAGGCGAGGCAGCGCCACCGCGCCAACCAAAGCTATGCAAGCCCAGGCCCCCGCCCCAGTCCTGCTGCCCCGCCGCTTCGTTCGCTCGCCGTGCCGACGCGTCCGCCCATTGGCCGATTGCTTCACCCCCCCGCCGCCTCTCGCCCGCCCCAGGCGGCCGCCGCGCTCGCTCTCCGCAGGGAGACGCAGGGCCTCCTCCGACCTGCCGCCGGCCTGTCCGAGCCGCTAGTGCCGCTTCACGCGCCCTCGGTGCGGCGGATAGGCGGCGCCGGCGCCGGCACGGCCGCCGAGTCCGACCCGCCGGTGAGCCTCGGGCGAGGGGCGCCGCGTGGCGCGTGGCGAGGCTGTTCACAGCGCGCACTCGCTGTGAACAGGTCCGGCCGGAGAGGGAGGCGCTGCTGTGGAGCGTCGCGCTGCAGCCCGCCGGCACCAAGCGAGGCGTGAGCGAGGCGGACTTGTCTGCGGCCGACCGGCGCGACCGCTACCGAAAGCGGCAGTGAGGAGGGAGGGCCGCGGGTTGGCATATTAGCGGCGGAGTTGCTTGTCAGCCGCATCCCCGCGCGCGTTGGGCTCTCGGCAAGCTCACGTGTGCGTGGCTGGGGCTGCGCTTCGGACCCGCTTCGGCATGCGATTCTTGGTCGATGATGTATTGTTTTTAACTTTGTTGGGCGCCCATGCACAAGAAACGTACGTACGTGAGCGTGTGTACTCGCTGTAACTTGTGACTTCACACTGGCGTGAAGCCCTGTGCGGGTGTGGGCCCCGCCGCTGTCGCCTCAATTCACATAGTTCATAGCTCGCGCTTCGGCCGCCGCTTGCCCTCGCTCGCGGCGGCTTGCGCCTCACTGCGGCCGGTGCCGGCGCTCCCCCTCAGCGCCTCCCTCCATTCGGCAAAGGCTTGCGACGCCTCCTTTCCCGACATGGGCTTGCCGTTGACCGTGATGGTCGCGCCCTCGGCGTTCTCCATCGCCCGCTGCAGCAGCGGCTTTGCTGCGGCGGCGAGCCCCTTCAGTGCGCGCTTGAGCAGCCACTTCGCCGGGTTCATACCCACCGGACCGATGAGCCGCTCGACGAGCTCAGTCAGCGGGTCCTCCGCCGCAAACAAGTCGTCGAGCACCTTGCCCAGCATCTCCTCGGCGCGGCGCAGCGCCTGTGAGGGCGAGCGGTCATTGGCCTGTGCAATCGGGCATCTCTCGGCCATCTCTTGCACGCTCGCGCTCGCGGCGCTCCCACCTCCGCCATCGCCGCCTCTGCCTGCGCCCGCATCTGCGCCTCCTCCTCCTCGCTCATCGCTGCACCGCCACCACTGTCACCGCCCCGGCCGCCACCTGCACGTTCACCGCCAAAGCCGCTGCCGCTCGGCTGCTTTCGCCCGCTCAGGATCTCGTACGCCTCGGACACGCGCAGGAAGGCTTCCGGCGACCCGCCCTTGTCCGGATGCGTGGCGATGGCGCGGGCGCGATATGCACGCTTGAGGTCCCCGCCGTCGTACCCGGCTCGGAGATCCAGCTCCTTCAGCGCCTGCTGCCGCGACATGGCTGCGGCGGCGTGCACGAGAACACAGAGCAGGCCCGCGTGGAGATGGAGCGATTTCATGAGGCGACGCTGTGCGAAGCCCGAAGCTCACATGCGGCTGAAACGCGCGAAGAGGAATTTTCCGAGCTCACTCACCGGGACTGGCGGTCTCGCAGGAAAAAGAATTTTAGGAAGCTAAGTCAGCTAGGCACGGTGGCGGCGTGCCGTCCTCCCATCCCTCCCTTGGGCTGTCTGTTTTCTTTCTTTCTTTCTTTTGACACTAGGCACGGGACTGGCGCGCACTGGCACTAACACAGGTACACCACGGGAGCCGCCTAAGCGACTCCTGCGAGGACGGCGAGGCAATAAGGTCCGTGCACTCGACCGCCCTCGCCGCAGGCGGAGCTGCGGCGCCGAAAGGCGAAAGAAGCCGAGAGAACAAGGGAACGGCAGGCGGCGGCGGCGGCGCAGAACGAGGCAGAGGAGAGCGACGCGACAGAGGAAGAAGCGACAAGCGAGAGCACGACGAGAAGGGGGCGACCGCGAGGTGGCATGAAGGTTGCAGCGAGAAGCGGCGAGAGACTGCGAAGAGAGGGAGGCGCGAGAGGCTCCTCACTAGGCCGACTCCCATTCGCCGTCGCACTCCGTGGGAGACCGTCGGGCCGAAGCCCGTCAGGCACTCTCTCCCTAACCCTAGCCTTAGTGTGTTTTGTTGCCTCCGTCCTTTTCACACTCGTCCTGTCGTGTCCGTCCACTGTGATTGCGGCCGTCCACGACTACGTCGTCTCTAGAGAACGTATACAACCCCCTTCTGGTGTCGACCGCGCCCCCCGCGGGGCACGGCCGGACGTGGCAGCGTCAACTGGTCACGACCAGCACTTTGGGGGAGTCACCTTCACGCTATCCCAGATATGACTGGCGACTCGCTGGCGGGGGACCTCGGGGAGGTCCCCGCCAAAGATGTCGCAATCATCGCAAAAGCCGCTTCTGAAGAAGCCACAAAGTGGCTCAAGCGAAACAACGTCGAGGCGGGCGCCGGCACGCTCGCCTATGCCGGCACCCTCCTCAAGGTCAGCACCTCCAGCGACCAGAGGACGCGGACCGGCATCTTCATTCTCATCGCATCAGGGGGCACCATCTACATCGAACCCCTCTCCAGCAAGGTCATCGCGAGCGACAAGGTCAAGGACGCGCTCGTCAAGCTGCACCAGCAGACGGCGGAGCACCGCGCGAGCATGTCCGAGTACGTTGAGCTCCTCTTCACCAACAAGGTCAAGCTGCCCCAACAGTTTGGAGGCCCCGCTACCACCATCACTCGCACCCTGGTGGACGACCCCGAGCTCAACCGGTTCGTCTCCGTCTCGCACGTTGACAAGCGCGCCCTCGCTGCGATCAACAACGCCGTCTACCAGGTCCTCCTCGACAAGATCGTCGTCGGCGAGCGGCCCCGCGAGGAGGCCGAGCAACGTCACCTTCATCGGCCTCAGCGGGGAGGCCGCCGACGCCTCTGTCGTCGGCGACCTTCCCCTCGTGCTCACCGACGCCGCTGGGAGGGAGTTTCCATACCTCCTCCGCGGCGTCCGAACAGCGCCGGATCCCGCGTCCTCGCGTCCTCGTGCGATACACTGCGAGAGCTGCCTCGGTGTCGCCCAGCTCGGTCAAAGGGCTCGCTCGAGCGACCACGTCAGACACGCAAGCTGTCGAATCCATTTCACGCTTGGGTTGGTTTCTTACGACGGCGTTCGGGGCGGTTGCCGACCTCTTTGGCGAAGTGGTAGATGATTCTCTTGGTTGGCCGCGCGATGCCGCCCTGCGCCCTGGCTTTCGAGACAAATGTTGACGATTCCGTTCTTGACAATGGAGCGCGTCGTAGTTCGAGTACTGTCCCTTGTGCTCACACCCACACAGTGTGCACCAAAGATGAACCCTGCACAAAGATCGCCTGGGCGGGGACTTTTGCTCCTTTCACCCATCTCCTAGAGGTGTCCGTTTTATTTATTCATCTCTCACACCTCCCAGCCAAGTAGAAACGAGTAGGCAGAGGGAAGCTTCGCCAGCAGTGACGCTGAAATCTCGCATCGTGACATTGCACCTTCCCAACAGCAAGTGACGTTGCCGTTCGGCGACGAGAGCCTGTGATGCAACCCGTGTGCTGGCATCCGTCGTGACGCAGTGACTGATCCGGGAGTGAAATCTGACACACCGTCGCGACAGATTGGTCGTGAGACTATGCAGCGGCGGCGATCGGCCGCCACGGCTGCGTGGTGGCGTGGCGACGAGCCGTCGCTGCGAGCGGCGTCTCCGGGAGGCCTCTGGACGGCCTCGGCCCGGGTCTGCGAGGCCGTGGGTGTCAGAGGCGGGCGTGAGGGTCTCTCTGGCGCCTGCGGGTGGTCGGCCGCGCCGCTGTGATTTTTTTGAGAGCGCGACCACAAGACGGGTGGCGACGTCGACCACGTCGACGCGGAGCCGCTGGCGATTTAATATTTAAGATCATACTTGATCAGGCACACCTCCCCGTATCTCCCCGTATCTCCCCGCATCTCCCCGCATCTCCCCTCATCTCCCGCCACACACGTCCCCGACACGTCCCCGACACGTCCCCCCACAGGATCATTTCTGTAGTATGTTCTTCCACTCAGCGACTGTAGCTGAGCTACTTCTTACGATCGAGATGACGACCTATACCATCCGGCGGGTTAGGGACACTGCGTTGGAGCCGCTTGCGGTTCCCTCGCTGGAAGAACCTGCGGTTCTTTTCTTGAGGCGCCCCGCCGGATTCGAGTCGGATCGATTTTTTTCTCCCTAAATTCTCTTTCTGACAGCGCCAAATGGCCGAAGCTCCTTGCTCGCTCCGCTCGGTAGGCTGGTTGCTGGTAGCACCCCAGCACCGGGGGGGTCCTGAGAGCTCTGGTCGGTGCTCTCTTCAGCACAGTAGTGGGCCCCGAAAGAACTCGCGCCGCCTCGGGCGTTCCCGCTCGGCCGTGCTCACCTCACCATGGACCTGTCCGCCCTCCCGCTCCCGCCCTCGCGGCTCGCTCTCCTCCACACCGCCGGGTACCGCAAGCGCAGCGACCTGGACGGCGTCATCGCGGCGACGCTCGCGCAAAAGATTGGCGGCACGGCGGCCGAGGCTGCGCGGCTGCTGGCCAACGTGCACTCGGGCGGCAGCAGCTCGGACGACCTGGGCGCAAACTACCTGCGCACCTCGGCTCGCACCGGCCTCGCGCTTCTGCAGGAGGAGCGCGCCGCCCAGAAGATTGTCACGCTCGTGCAGCCGCTCGACGAGCTTCTCGGCGGCGGCGTGCGGCCGGGCCAGCTCACCGAGGTTGCGGGCGTGCCCGGCGTGGGCAAGACGCAGATGGGGATGCAGCTGGCCGTCAACGCCGCCGTCCCTCACGCACTCGGCGGCGCCGGTGGCGAGACGGCCTACATCGACACGGAGGGCTCCTTCTCGGCGCAGCGGGTGCGCGAGATGGCGGAGGGGCTCGTGGGCTCGCTGTGGCAGAGCCTCGTGGCGTGCCGGCCCGAGGAGCGGGGCGCGCGGGAGGAGGCGCTGCGCGGCCTCACCTGCGAGGGCGTCCTCTCCGGCATCCACGTCTTTCGCTGCCACGACCTCGCCGAGCTGGTCGCCGCGGTCAAGGGTCTCTGCGCGTTTGCCGAGGGGCGCTCGTCGCGCGTGCGCCTGGTGGTGGTCGACTCGGTCGCGTTCCACTTCCGGCACGAGAACCTCCCCTTCGCGCGCCGGCTCCAGCTCCTCGGAACCGTCAGCCAGGCGCTCCTCGACTTTGCGCGCGCCGAGCGCGCCGCGGCGGTGCTGGTGAACCAGGTGACGACACCTCGCAGACACTGCCCAGACATTTCCCAGAGATTGCCTGGACGCTTCCTAGACACTTCCTCTCTTGCCAATCAGGTGACGACGAAGGTCAACGACGCGACCAACGACTCGTTCCTCGCGCCTGCGCTCGGCGAGTCGTGGGCAGACTGCCGCACCAAGCGCGTGCTCCTGGAGTGGCAAGGGTTCGACGGTGTGGTAGTGTATGATAGGCGCACACCTGCCACACCAAGCTGATGCTCGAGTGGCGGCAGCGCACCCGCGTCGCGCGCCTCTACAAGGGCGGCCCGCCCGGCTGCGTGCCTTACCAGGTCCTCACCGAAGGTGTGCGCAGGGCGGAGGGCGCAGCGGCGGCGGCGCCCGAGCTGGCTGCGGCGTCGCTCGCGCGGCAGCGGGACGAGCAGGCGGGCGCTTGGGCGGCGCAGGAGCCGAAGCGGCAGCACACAGGCGACTCGTGAGGCGGGAATCGGACGAGCGCCCAGTGGCAGCTCTCCCCTGTCCAGAGTCCACGCACCGCGCATGCACTTGAGGAGGCTTTCGGGTGGCTGGGGTGCACTTGCCCACGGCTTCTCTTGCTACTTCTGTCGGGTGACAATCGTACGTTCGCCTATCTTTGTCTATGTCCGCCGCGGTGTAATAGTGAAAGAGACTGTCGAGCGGGAGGAGAAGTAAATACCTGGCAGGTTTTAAACCTGCTACGTACCTGGGTACGAACCCTACGTATACGTGCATGTTTATCTTTATGGGGTCTGCTGAAGTGAGTGAACGAATGGCGGCGTGGGCTGCGAGCAACGAGCTGAGAGCGGCGACATGAATCATGATGCTGAACCGCACACACAGTCACAGAGCCGGTGTGCGCGGTTCACAGCGGGCCCGAAATGCCCTGCCGGTACCCCTGCGCGACCAGCGCATGCGCTGAGCGGTGCGCCCTGCCCCTCGCCCACCAGAGTGCAAGGCAGCAGAGGAGTCCGCCGCATACCGCTGCCGGCCCGCCGCCGCCCACCGCCGCCCAACCCTCCGGCGCGGCTGCCTCGCCGGCGGCGGAGAAGGCGGTGAAGGCGGGCTCCGCGCCGGGCTGCGGCTTCAAGCTTGGGACGATGAGGCGGTCGATCGCGTTGTGGTACCTACGCGGTGCTCTCGCAGGGGGGTGGGGAGGAGAGGCGCGGCTGCGGCGTGGGGAGGAGAGGCGCGCGCATGTACGGCTTGTACGACTCGCCTGCAGGAAGGTTCAGAGAGGGTTCAGAGAGGGCCCAGAGAGGGTTCAGAGAGGGTTCAGAGAGGGTTCAGAGAGGGTTCAGAGAGGGCTCAGAGAGGGTTCAGAGAGGGCCCGGAGAAGAGAGGGGTCCCGATGTGCCCTGCTCACGCCACTCGCCTCCAAAGAGGTAGAAGGCGCCACTCGACGGGTCGCGGACAACGCCTTGCCGGTAGCGGTGAGTCGGCGAGCTCGGCGTGCTCACGCGGCGCCAGCCTCCTCCCGCGTACACCCACGCGTCGCCGTAGCACGTGCACCTGCGGCAGGCCGACTCGCGCACTGACTCTCGCGCCCCCGACTCTCGCGCCCCCGGACCTCCCTTTCCGCAACCCTCGGCTCGGACAATCTCCGTCAATCTCGGTCAATCTGAGTCAATCTGAGTCAATCTGAGTCAATCTGAGTCAATCTCGGCCAGTCTCGCGAGCCGCACCCGGGCGTGCAGTGTGCTCCGCCGTACAGCAGCAGGCTGTCGGGCGGCGCCGCGACGAGGGAGGCGTGCGATCGGGCAGCCGGCGCAAGCGGCACGGGCCCGTGGCCCAGCCGGCTCTGCGTGAGAAGCGACCAGCGCCGCGTCGTCGCGTCAAAGTGCCACAAGTCGTCGAGCGGGGTGGGCGGGGAGCGGCTGCCCGGCTTGCCGCGCCGCGTGCCGCCGAAGACGAAGAAGCCGCGCCCGTCCGGCGCCGCGCCTACCGCCACTCCCTCGCGTGTCGGCGTCGCGTCGCGAGGCGGAGAGGGCGCGGCGGGGAGGGCGCGCGCTTGCGGCGGCGGCGTGGCGCGTGCCCGGGTGCTGCCCTCCTGCGGATGCGACCGCCGCCGCGTCGTCCACCTGCCATGGTAGTGATCGAGATCAATTGGACGACGATCGGATGAGAGACCCACCAGACCTTGCGAGCTCCAGGCCGCACCTTTGTCCACGCACGGGCGGCGAAGGAGAAGCGCCACGTGTCGTCGCGTTCGAGCCCGCCGTAGACGTACATCGCGTCGCCTGCGGCAGGCGGCTGGCTCTGAGGGAGGGAGGGAGGGAGGGAGGGAGGGAGGGAGAGAGAGAGAGACAGAGAGAGAGAGAGACAGAGAGACAGAGAGAGAGAGCGGTGGCGTCGCGCCGACGAGGGCGGCCACATGCAGCGCGCGCTTCGGCGGCGCCCTGCCGGCCGGCGTGACGGACGACCACGTGAAGCTACTCAGGTCGAGCCGCCAGAGCTCCGAGTTCCACGCCTTGAAGACATAATTGTGCAGCGAGTGCTTGTGCCCGCCGTCGTCGCCGCCGTACATGTAGAGGCCGCCGTCAAACACGACGGCGGAGGCGGAGTAGCGCGCCGACGGCGCACCGTGCCGTTCGCCGCGGTGCACCTGCCGCCACGCGCCGCGCGACACCTCAAACACCCACGCGTCGGACAGCCATGCCGGCTGGCGGATGTCGTGGTTGTAAAAGTAGCCGTGCGTTACGACGATGCGGCCTTCGTGCCACACGACGCACGCCGAGTAACGCACCGACGGGTGCGCGGAGTCGCCGATCATCGGGCGGTGCTCGGGCAACACCACGTCCCAGGCGGCAAGAGTCGGGTCGGGCATCGTCGCGCGCTGGATTGAAGAAAAATGCGGCAGCCGGCGGTATGAACAGGAGCGTTGTCGGGCATTGGGAGGCCAGAAGAAAAGAATCCGGCGTGAGGAGACCGGGGCGCGCGCGAGTCCTCGACCGAAGAGAGCTGGCCCCACTTCCCGGGGAGGGGCGGCGTGGCGATCCAATGCCGCCGCCCTCGCCCGAGGAGTCGGGCATGGGATCACCGTCGGTGATAGCGACAGAATCGGACAGAGTCAGAGAAGACGAGACGGTGGCGGGGCCGCGGCTGAAAAAGGCTAGCAGGGGCTAGGAGGGGAGGTCGGGCCCCGCGCCCGTCGGATGATCATCGGAAGGCGAACAAGAGGAAGAACTCAGAGGAGAGGGGAGCCTCCTCCGGAGTGATCGTCGACCAGTCCAGTGCGATGGCGTCGGCAGCTGGCAAGCCAGTGGTGTCGCAACGCACAGCCAAGCAACGGAAAGGCTTCTGCGACCACCTCGAGGACGGCCGGATGGATAATCAGAAAATCATCGCCGTGCTGGCAGCGCTGAACGTCGCTTCCCTCTGCTGCTATGCCGCCGAGTACATGGCGACCGGACACGTCGTCGCTAGTTCGGGGACGAAGGTCTCGGGCTGGCACGAGGTCCCGGCCACCGTCGCCTTTTTGGGTTTCGTGCATCAGGCCTTCAAGAAGGGCGGCTGGCACGCGCTGATCGGAAAGGTCTCGATCGTCGCGGCGGTTCTGTGCCTAGCCTTTGTGGTCCCGAATCTCAGGCCCGGCATCCTGATGCAGTTCGAGTGGGCCGAGGCGCTCAAGCGCTCCATGGGCGACGGCGTGCTGGTCCTTCTCATCCGAGTGTGGAACGAGGCCGTGAATATCCACCAGTTCATGCTCTACGGAGTGCTGCTGCTGCACCAGCTCTACAGAGGCTACGTGGCCGTGCGGGTGCACAAGGACGTCGGGCAGCACAAGCGCCACATGCAGAGCGCCACCATGTTCCTCTTTGGCCCCCTCGCCCAGCGCTTCTGCTTCAACCACCTGACGCCCAAGCGCGCCGAGCACGCGGTGCTGTGGCAGGTTGGGACCTACTCCGCCCTCATGCTCCTGATCGACCAGTCCGCCGCCAGGCCGACGCTGCGAGCCACGCTGGCCCTCGCCCTCGTCCTCGCGGGGGTCTTTGTCGGCCGAGGCGAGAGCGGCTTGCAGTGCATGCTCGTGATCGCGTAGGGAGGGTATGCGCGGTCCGCGGTGAGGGGGCCGGGCGTGTGTGAGTGAGCGAAAAAGCCTGCAAAGCTATAAATAAATAAAACGGGCACGCCAAACGAGGGGTGGGAGAAGGACAGGGTTCCCACCTGCAAAGCTGAAAGAAAGAAAGAAAACGGACAACCCAAGGGAGGGATGGGAGGACGGCACGCCGCCACATAAATAAATAAATAGAGCAGTCATCTCCAGGGAGAGATGGGCGACGCACACGAACACAGAGGGACAGTGCGCACCCCGCCCCGCTCGCAGGGCGTGTGCATCACACAGCACGCCGCCACCACACAGGGCAAAGACAGAGTAAAATTCTTCTTCTCCAGTGTTTAAATTCTTCTTCTCGCGATGTCCACCCCGCCGCGCCGCCACTCGCGCCGCCTCGCCGCCGCCGCCTCCGCCGCGCCCCCGCCAAGTACGCCGCCGCCCGCCCGCCTCCTCGACCTCCCCACGGACCTCCTCGTGCGCGCCCTCTCTCGCTGCGACCCCGCCGACATCGCTCGCGTCGCGGCCGTCTCGCTGCTCTTCCACGCCTCGCTCGCCGTGGAGGCCATCCGCTTGTGGGCGCAAGAGCGCGGCTTCGAGCTGCCGGCGCAGCCAGAGGGCGAGAGCTGCGCCGTGCGGTGGCTGTGCTTTGCTGCGCTGCTGCGCGAGGCCAACCCGCCGGTGAGGGCTGCGGCAGGCTCCTCGCACAGCCTCTTCATCGACGGCGAGGGGCGGCTCTCGTCGTGCGGCTCGGAACCGGAGGGCGAGGAGGAGGACGAGGACGAAGAGGAGGTATTTCAAGGCCTTCTCGGCCATGACGAGAGCGTGACGCGGCTCAATACGCCGACCCGCTTCCCTTCTCCGCTGGGCGGCGAGCGTGCCGTGAGCGTGTCGGCGGGACGCAAACACAGCCTCGCAATCACCGCCGACGGCGCTGTCTTGAGCTGGGGCGATGAAGAGTTTGGCAAGAAGGTGGAGGCCTTTGCTGGGCGGCGCGTCGTCGCTGTGTCGGCTGGAGCCGATCACAACCTCGCCCTCACCGCCGATGGCGCTGTCTGGAGCTGGGGCTGGGGAAGTTTTGGCGCGCTGGGCCACGGCGACGAGCAGGACCAGCTGCAGCCGAAGAAGGTTGAGGCCTTGGCAGGGCGCGTCGTCGCTGTGTCGGCTGGAGGATACCACAGCCTCGCCATCACCGCCGACGGCAGCGTCTGGAGCTGGGGCCGTGGAGCCCTTGGCCGGCTGGGCCACGGCGACCGGCAGAGCCAGCTGCTGCCCAAGAAGATCGAGGCCTTGACTGACCTGCGCGTTGTCGCTGTGTCGGCGGGATACTTTCACAGCCTCGCCATCACCGCCGGTGGCGCTGTCTGGAGCTGGGGCGCTGGAGAGGATGGCCAGCTGGGCCACAGCGACGAGCAGGACCAGCTGCTGCCCAAAAAGGTCGAGGCCTTCACCGGCCAGCGCGTCGTCGCTGTGTCGGCTGGATGCGACCACAGCTTCGCCATCACCGCCGATGGCAGCCTCTGGAGCTGGGGCCGTGGAGAGGATGGCGAGTTGGGCCACGGCGACGAGCAGCGCCAGCTGCTGCCCAAGAAGGTCGAGGCCTTTGCTGGCCAGCGCGTCGTCGCTGTGTCGGCGGGAATCGACCACAGCATCGCCATCACCGCTGACGGCGCTGTCTTCACCTGGGGCGGTGGCGAGACCGGCTGCCTAGGCCACGGAGAGGACCTGTCGAACCAGCTGCTGCCCAAGAAGATCGAGGCGTGGGGCCTGGGGCGGTGAGCGATGGGGGGCGGAAGCCGGAACGGAGCGGGGTCTTTGATGAGCCTGTGAGTCTGTGAGCCTGTGCCCTGACTTGGCACTTGGGGGTATGAGGAGAAGGACATTTGCGCGCAGGCGGCGCCTAGGGCGGCGCGGGCGGCTCGCGTCGTCGAGGCTCGAGCGGACGCGCTTTTTCGTGTACAATTTCAAAAAAAAACGCATGGCGGTGACCCCGTGTGCGTCTGCGTGCGGGGCGTGAGGTGACTGGAGTGACTCATATATGAACCCCACACACACACCACCGCGGGGTATGGGCCATGCAGCGCGCTGGGGGCGGCGCGGGACCAGCTCCTCTCTTTCCGGTGGGTGGGTGGGTGGTGGTGGGGGGGGGGGGCAAGGGGGTTCATTTATTCACAACACGCACGTGACGCCCTTCGCCGCGCACGCCGCCCCGAGCGCGACGGCCGCCGCCTCGCTCGCCGCGTGACGCCGGAGGGACAGCCGCGCGAGGCTCGCCGGGGCGTCGTCCGCCGCGACCGCCGCCGCCAGCGCCTCGACGCCTCGGTCGCCCACCCCATTCTCGTCGAGGTGCAGCTCGCGGAGGGAGGTCGCGCGCGGGAGCGCCGCCGCCAGCGCGGCGGCGCCCTCGTCGCCCACGCCGTTCCAGTTGAGCGAGAGCTTCTCGCACGGCGCCAGCGCCCCGGCCGCCATCAGCGACGCGATGGCCGCCGCCTCGGCGCCGCCCCAGCCGAGGTCGACGAACTCGAGCACCGCCTGAAGCAATCGTGCCACGCTCTCGCGCTGATGGCTGGGGCCGCGGCGGGTGGGTGAAGAGATGGGAGGCTGCAGGCAGGCGGCAGAGGCATCGAGACAGGGCAGCAGTGGAAGGCATGCACACTGGAAAGGCGTACACAGGAGTGAGAGGAGGAGGAGGCGGTGGGGCGGATGCAGCAGTGAGAGGCGCGCGCCGCGGCGGCGAAGCGCTCGGCGAAGCCGGCGCGGTAGAGGTCCGCGACCAGCGGGCGGTCGCACTTTCCGTTGGTGAAGCCCTTCGACTCGAGGGCGGCGGCGAACTCGTCCGGCGGCAACGGCGCGCGGCGGCGCTGCCGGCACTGCGCCTGCAGCTCGGCCCACCTGCGATTCACCGCGCCGTCGCGCTTAGAGCCGGCTGTCACAGGTCTGTGGCGTCGGTTAAGCTCTTATGAGCGGGTGACAGGTGGGGAGCCGAAGGAGGGGAGCTAGCTTCCACGAGCTGGGCTCGCCGGCTCTTCTCGCCCGTGTCGAGGCCGAGGTCGAGCAGCTTGCGCGAGTCTTTGACGAGCGCCGCCCAGGAGGCCTCGCAGAAGCACCAGCCGCGGTCGGGGTACGGCGCGGTGTTGCCCGACCGCCTGTACCGCGCGGGGTCGTCATAGTCGGGCGGGAAGGCGGTCAGCATAAAGACAAACGTCTCCGGGTGCGAGTAGAAGGCGCCGAGGCTGCCCAGCGCACGCTTGAAGAGCACGTCCTCCGCCGGGTACCGGCCGCCCTCGTCGGTGTGAGTGCGCGGCTGCGGCGCGCCTCCGGCGCCGCGGCAGCGTTGGTGGATGCACATAAAGTCAATGAAGACTGCGAACCGGCCAAAGGACTTGACAAGCAGTTTGAGTGCGCGGCCAACCACGCGGAGGTTGTGGCCCCGAGGGTCCGGGTGGTCGGGCTGGAGCCAGCAGTGCGAGCAGCAGGCGATGCGGAGGAACGGGAACGGGTTCTGCGCCGCTTTGAGCTCCGAGAGGGAGACAAACGCAGCATCGGGCAGCGCCTGGCGCGGCAGCATTACGCCGTCGGGTCGCTCGGACTGCTCGATGAGGTAGCTTGCATCGATGAGCGCCACGGCGCCAGAGGAGAGCACGCTCTCGAAGTCGGAGCCGCCGCGCGCGAGCCAGAGCTGAGCGGCCTCGTCGGTGACAGCGACACTGGTGGTAGCGGGCATGTGCGGTTGCATATCTTGGCCGCGCTGCGCTTCGATGAGACGCGAGTTTGTTGCGTGGCTTGGGGGCAACAGCTCCTTGACGTCTAGGGGCGCCTTTGGCCCTGGCGGCGGCGGCCCGGCGTGGGAGCCAAAAGAATTGAAACCCGCGCGCAAAGTTTTCTTTTCCTCGCGATCATAAGGAGTGCACAGATTGGGTGTTTCCACAATCAAACCGTCCGTGAAGAGTGCTTGATTCACGGACAGCGAGGCTGCCCGCATGTTCAATCGTTGCCCGCAAGCGGAGCTCCCCACCGGGGGCTTGAAGACACTGAGCCGAGCGCGCGCCGGCGGCGGACCGCCGCCGGCGCGCTCGCTTCGGCGGATGGCTGAGCGGCACAGTTTCTGGCCGCCCGGCCTGCGAGCTGTCGCCGCGAGACGATCGAAGGCGCTCAGTTCAAGCGCGCCGCCATGCCAGATCTCGCCCCACGCCCCGACCAGACCAGGCAGTGCGTGCAGGAATGATGCAGGCATGATAACCGGGTGTGGTGAGCACGCCAGCGGCACCGCTGCGCACTCTCAGGGTCGCAGCCGCCGATCTCGTGAGGGAGGGGCGTGGGTCGGGGCGGGTGCGAGAGAGTCGAGGAGCGCGGCGCGCGCGTGCGCGCGTGGGGTAAGTCGGTTGATATTTCATCACTGGTATAAAAGACCCAAAACGGCACGCGCGCCGCGCGCACGCGCGCTCGCATCACCTCACAACACTCACAAATCAAAGAGATGCGGGCAGCCGCTCGCGCGAGGGTTTCTTCGATCAAAAAAGGGACGTCCGCGAATCTGTGCACGGCTCATGTTCACACCATATGTCCAAACCGCCGCGCCGCTCGCGCAGCCTCCTCGCCACCACCGCCTCCACCGCCGCGCCCCCGCCAGAGACGCCGCCGCCCGCCCGCCTCCTCGACCTCCCCAGGGAGCTCCTCGTGCGCGCCCTCTCCCGCTGCGACCCCGCCGACATCGCTCGCGTCGCGGCCGTCTCGTTGCTCTTTGACGCCTCGCTTGCGGTGGAGGCCATCCGCTTGTGGGCGCAAGAGCGCGGCTTCGAGCTGCCGGCGCAGCCAGAGGGCGAGGGCTGCGCCGTGCGGTGGCTGTGCTTTGCTGCGCTGCTGCGCGAGGCCAACCCGCTGTCGAGGGCGGCAGCGGGCCTTCGGCACAGCGTCTTCATCGACGGCGAGGGGCGGCTCTCGTCGTGCGGCAAGGCTGAGAGTTGGCAGCCAGGACTGCTCGCCTCACGGCGAGGGCGTGACGCAGCTCAACCAAACGCAGCGGTTGTACGACTTGTGTGATTGTTTAGGGCGGGAGGTGGGCTGACAGATGGCAGAGCCGGACGACAAGAAATAAAAACACAGAACAGAGCCGAAAGCGACACCCCAGCGCGCCGGGAGAAGCGCCGAGGCGCGAGAGCCCTCGGGGGGGCTCGAGGCGGGAGAGCGCAGCGCTGCGCTCACCCCGCCGCTCGCGCGCTCAGTCCACCTCCTCCATCTTGGAGCCCTCGTCGCCGTCCTCCTCGAGGGGCGGCAGCTCCTCGACGTCGTCCGCCTCGTCGTCGTCCTCGATGGAGAGGCCGAGCTTGATCATGCGGTGGATGCGGCCGGCGAAGGTGGCGGGCTCGTCGAGCGAGAAGCCCGAGGTGAGGAGGGACGTCTCGAAGAGCAAGTGGACCAGGTCCTTGACCGTCTTGTCGCCCTTGTCGGCGGCCGACTTTGCCTTGAGCTCCTTCATGATCGAGTGCTTCGGGTTGATCTCCATCGTCTTCTTGGAGGCCATGTACGAGGACATCGACGAGTCGCGCAGTGCCTGCGCGCGCATGATGCGCTCCATGTTCGCGGTCCAGCCGTACTCGCCCGTCACCAGCACGCAGGGCGACTCGGTGACGCGCTCCGACATGACAACCTTCTCAACCTTGTCGCCGAGGATCTCCTTCATCAGCTTGCAGAGCGGCTCGAAGTCGGCGGTGAGCTCCTCCCACGCCTTCTTCTCCTCCTCGGTCTCCTCGAACTTGAGGCCCTCCTTGGTCACCGAGACGAGCTTCTTGCCGTCGTACTCCTTGAGCTGCTGCACGCAGTACTCGTCGATCGGGTCCGTCATGTAGAGCACCTCGTAGTTGCGCTTCTTGCAGCGCTCGATGAAGGGCGACGTCTCGACCGCCTTCTTGGTCTCGCCCGTGATGTAGTAGACGTCCTTCTGCGACTCGGGCATGCGCGAGACGTAGTCCTTGAGCGAGGTCATCTCGTCGCCCGACTTGGTCGAGTGGTACATGAGCAGCTCGGCGAGCTTGGCGCGGTTGCCAGAGTCCTCGTGGATGCCGAGCTTGACGTTCTTGGAGAACTGCTCGTAAAACTTCTTGAAGTCCTCGGTGTTCTCCTGGATCTCGCCGAAGAGCTCGATCGCCTTCTTGACGATGTTCTTCTTGATGACCTGCGCGGCGCGGCGGGGGGGAAGGGGGTCGGAGGGAAAGTGTGGGCGGGCGCGGCTCGGGGGGCGCGCTGGCGGCGCGCCTTGAGGATCTTGTTCTGCTGCAGCGTCTCGCGCGAGATGTTGAGGGGCAGGTCCTCCGAGTCGACGACGCCCTTGACAAAGGTGAGCCACTCGGGGATCAGGTCCTCGCAGTTGTCCATGATGAAGACGCGGCGGACGTAGAGCTTGATGTGGCCCGAGTTCTTCTTCTTGGGCTCGAAGAGGTCGAAGGGCGCGCGCTTGGGCACGAAGAGGATCGAGGTGAACTCGAGCTGGCCCTCGACGGAGAAGTGCTTGACGGCGAGGTGCTCCTCCCAGTCGTTGGAGAGCGCCTTGTAGAAGGCGCCGTACTCCTCCTTGGTCACCTCCTCGGGCTTGCGCGTCCAGATGGGCTTCTGCTTGTTCATCAGGTCCCACTCGTGCGTCACCTCCTTGACCTTCTTCTTCTTCTTCTCCTTCTTCTCCGCCTCCTCGTCGACCTCCTCGATCTTGGGCTCGTCGCCGTCCTCCTCCTTCTTCTCGTCCTCCTCCTCGTCCTCGTCGTCGTCCACCTCCTTGTCCACCGTCTTCTCGGTCCAGAGCGAGATCGGGTAGTTGATGAACTCGGAGTGCTTCTTGACCAGGTCCTTGAGGCGGCGCTCCTCGAGGTACTCGAGCTGGTCCTCCTTGAGGTAGCACATGATCTTGGTGCCGCGCCCGAGCGCCTCGCCGTCCGCGTCCTTGCGCACCGTGAAGGAGCCGCCCGCCGCCGACTCCCAGACGTGCTGCTCGTCGTCGTTGTGCTTTGACGTCACGACGACGCGGTCGGCGACGAGGTAGGACGAGTAGAAGCCGACGCCGAACTGGCCAATCATGTTGATGTCGGCGCCCGCCGACATCGCCTCCATGAAGGCCTTGGTGCCCGACTGCGCGATGGTGCCCAGGTTGGTGATCATCTCGGCCTTGGTCATGCCGACGCCAGAGTCGATGATTGTGAGCGAGTTGTTGGACTTGTCGGGCACGAGGCGGATGTAGAGCTCGGGGTTGCCATCGAGGACCGACTTGTCGGTGAGCGACTGCGGAGGGGGAAGGGGGGGCGGGGGCGTGAGCGGTGTGAGCGGCGCGGCAAAGTGGAGGATTCCCCCGGGAATCTCGGGGCGGCCGCAACGCCGTGCGCGCGCGGCGTGTTTGTTTGGGGGAGGGCGGCGGAGGGCGGCGGCTGCGCCGCCGCGCCGCCGGCGGACGGCAATGCGGCGGCGCCGCGCGGCGGACGGCGAGCGGCGGCGCCGCGCGGCGGGCAAGACGCCGCCCCGGCAGATGGGGCGTGCGCGGCGCGCGTGTGTGCGAGCAGTCGAGCACGCCTGGTGACGGATCTTGTCGAGCGCGTCGGACGAGTTGGAGATGAGCTCGCGGAGGAAGATCTCCTTGTTTGAGTAGAAAGTGTTGATGATGAGACTCATCAGCTGGTTGATCTCAGCCTGGAAGGCAAACGTCTCGACCTCCGCCATGGCGACTGGTTGTTCTGCGGCGCGGGGAGGAGCGGGGAGGTGGGTCGCCGGGCGAGTCGGCGGAGGGCGATGCGGGTGTGGCGGAGGAGAGGCGGCGAGGCGGGGCGAGGCCGGGGCGGGGCGGGGCGGGCGAGCGGGCGAGCTCTGTGCACTTGTGGATGTGTCGCGTAGACTCGTCTAGAAGCAAGGTCGTCAGTTTGCTTTTCTTTTCGCAAGGCCGCAAGGGCGATTCCGAAAGTTGTACCGGACCCTCCACCGCTAGCACTGTCTGGTACAGCCCCGCTATCTCTGTCTGGCCGACTACAGTGTGCAGCGGAGAGGCGCGAGTCGGAATAGATTTGCAGGCCTCCTGCCTCCCCGATGCCGCAGGCGCCTCCTGCCATGCGCACGCCCTGCCCTGCGCTGGTGGACCGGCTCACTGCTGAGGCTGGCCTAAGCTACGAGCCGCCAGTGCCACGCCCCTCGCCCCGAGGCCTCCCCCGCCCACCCCTCCCGCCCCGCCCGCGCCCGCCTCGCCCACCGACCACCGCCATGCCACCCGCGGGCGCGGGGCGCGTGGGGGGCTGGTAGACAAAGGTCGCCTGCGCCGCCACGTGCGCTCCGCAGTTGGCGATCGGCAGCGCCGGCTGGCGGCAGGCCGGGCAGTTGGTGTCGCGCTCCAGCACGCGCGGCGCACACGTCTCGCAGTACAGCGCGTGGCCGCACGCGAAGCGAACAGACCGCGGCGCCGACCAGCAGAGGTCGCACAGCCGCGCCTCCCCGTCCGCCTCGGCCGTCACCGCCCCTGCGAGGCTCTGCGATGGCGATGCCGCCACCTCCCCCGCCGCTTCGACTAGCGCCTCCAGCCGCGGCAGCGCCTCTGCGAGCGGCATCCGCTTCCTCTTCCGCTCGTACGCCAGCCCGACCACGAGCCGCGCCACCTCCTCGGCCTGCGCCGCCGACCAGCCCGCGTCGGCCGCTGCGATGGCCTCCGCCGTGTCGGGCTCCTCCATCGCATCGTCGCACGCATTGAGCAAGCCAAGCGCGCCGCGGCCGGTCAGAGCGACGAGCAGCGTGATACCGAGCGCAAAACCATCGGTGAGCTGCGAAGCCTGACCGTCGTTGAGGATGATCGGGTCCATGTAGCCAGGCTTCCCAAAGATACGCTGCGTCGACAGGTGCGAGACCTGCTGGCTGCTGCCAGCCGTCGCCTCTGCCGCGCGCGCGAGGCCCACGTCGGCGAGGTAGCCGTTGCCGCGCTCGTCGAGCAAGATGTTGCCCGCCGAGACGTCGCGGTGCAGGATCATCGGCGAGAGCGTGTGCAGGTAGTGCAGCGCTCTCGCGGCGTCGCGCAGCACGTGGACCCGTGCGGCGGAGGAGAGCGGCGGAGGCGCCGTCTCGAAGCCGAGCATGCGGAGCCGCTGCAGCGCGGCTGGCGTGCGGTAGAGGCGGTCCTCGAGGCTGCCGCCGCGGCAGAGGGGGTAGACGAGGCACGCGCGCTCAGGCGCCAAGCAGGCGCCGAGCAGAGGGAGCAAGGACGGGTGGCACGCCGCGCTGAGCGTGCGCACCTCGCTCTGCAGCTCGGCGAGGCCTTGGGCGCCGACACCGACCAGCGCCGTCTTGACGGCGAACCCGCAAGCGACGCGCGGAAGCGACGGCAGCGCGTCGCAGCGGTAGACGCGCCCAAAGCCTCCCTCGCCCACCTTGCGCGCCTCGGCAAAGCGGTCCGTCGCCATGATTAGCTCGTCGAGAGGGACGGCGGCGGGCGGCGCGGCGGCGGCGGCGAGGGCGGCGACACTGGCAGGAGCCGCCGCCTCTGCTGCCTCCGCCGCCGCCGCTGCCTCCGCTGCCGCCTCCGCTGCCGCCGCCTCTTGAGCCTCCGCCGCCGCCACGGCCGCCACTGCCGCCTCCATAGCCGCCGCCTCCGCCGCTACCTCCACCGCCTCCGCCTCCGCCTCCGCCCTCTGCCTCGCCTCCTCCCCCTCCCTTGCCGCCTCCTCCCTTGCCCTCGCCTCTGCCTCCTCCCTTGCGCGCGACGCCGCCTCCGCCTCCTCCGCCGCCCGCGCCGCCGCATCCTCTGCTACCAACCGATCCGCTTCCTCCGCCACTCGCGCCTCCTCCGCCGCCCGCGCCTCCTCCGCCTGCTCCGCCGCCCGCTCCGCCGCCCGCGCTGCCGCCGCCGCCGCCTTCTCCTCCTTCTGCCGCTGCCGCTTTAGCGCCCTGGCCTCGCGGACCTTTCGCTCCGCCAACTCGTCGCGCAGCCGCCACGCCGCCCGCAACGCCTCCGAGCCGTCGGCGGCCTGGGTGGTGTTCGCGTTGATCGCCGCCCTGAGCGCCTCGAGATCGGCGTCGCCTCGCTCGCACGCCTCAACCGCCTCGCGCAGCGCAGCCTCGGCAGCATCGCGCGCCTCCGCCGCCTCCGCTGCCGCTGCCGCATCGCGTGCGGCCGCCGCGGCCTGTTCGGCTGATTCTGCGACCGCCCTCTCCCCCCTCGCCTCTGCTGCGGTCGACGAGTGCTCCTCGAAGGCGCGCACGCACTCGGCGTGGCCCTCTTCCTTGGCCCATTGAAGCGCCGTCTCGCCGCTCGCACTGCGCGCCGCAGTGTCAGCGCCCGCCCGCAGCAAGCGCCGCACGACGGCGGGGCGGTTCAAGAGGGCAGCGGCTATCAGCGCGGTGACGCCCTTGCTGTTCTGCAGGTTGATCTCAGCGCCGTGCCGTATCAGCAAATTGACCACCTGCTCGCGGCCTTCCTGGGCGGCGTACATCAGCGCGGTGTTGCCCTTACTGTTCTGCAAATTGATCTCCGCGCCGTGCTGCAGCAGCAGCTCGACCACCCGCTCGTGACCTTCCTGGGCGGCGCCCATCAGCGCGGTGTAGCCGTTGCTGTTCTGCACGTTGATCTCCGCGCCGTACCGCAGCAGCAACTCGACCACCTGCTCGTGGCCGTACACGGCGGCGCCCATCAGCAGCGTGATGCCGCTCACCTTGCCTCTCTTGTACGTCGCGTCGGCCCGCCCACCACTGTCGAGCCACTCCAGCACTGCCGCCTCGTCGCCTCGCTCAGCAGCTGTCACGACCTCGTCGGAGTCAGCCATGTCACCGCTCAACGGCCGCCCCGCCGCCGCAGCCGGCGACAGATTACCCGGCCGCACCCGCACGCTCTCGCCGCCGCCCTCGAGCGCCACAGCGTACCGCCCGCCCTCGAAGCTCCCCGCCACGCCCCGCTGCCCGTTTAGCTCGGGGCGGGAGGAGAGCCCGCCGAGCTCGACTCGCTGGCCGAGCAGCGGCGCGTCCACAGCTGCCGCGCCCGAGGAAACGCCGCCCGCACCTCGGCCCTCCGCCACCGCCTCGGCCTCTGACAAGACCTTGACGCACTCGGCGTGGCCCTCCTCCTTGGCCAGCTGCAGCGCCGTCTTGCCCTTTTCATCGTGCGCCGCCGCGTCTGCGCCCGCCCGCAGCAAGCGCCGTACGACGGCGGGGCGGTTGAAGAGGGCGGCGAACATCAGCGCGGTGAAGCCTTTGCTGTTCTGCAGGTTGATCAGCAAGTCGACCACCCGTATCAGCAAGTCGACCACCCGCTCGTGGCCGAATCCGGCGGCGGCCATCAGCGCGGTGTCGCCGTCGCTGACCTGAAGGTTGATCTCCGCGCCGTGCCGCAGTAACAGCTCGACCACCCGCTCGTGGCCGTTGCTGGCGGCGCCCATCAGCGCGGTGAAGCCGTCGCTCCTCTGCAGGCCGATCTCCGCGCCGTACCGCAGCAGCAAGTCGACCACCCGCTCGTGGCCGCGGCTGGCGGCGTACATCAGCAGCGTGAGGCCACTCACCTCGCCTCTCTCGTACGTCGCGTCGGCCCGCCCGCCGCCGTCAAGCCACGCCAGCACCGCCTGCTCGTCACCTCGCCCAACCGCTGCCACGACCTCGTCGGAGACTGCCACGACACAGCTCGGCGCCCGCCCCGCCGCCACCGCTGGAGAGAGCGTCTCCGCGACTCTCGATCCAGCCGAGGAAGCGCCGCCGGAGGAAGCGCCGCCTGCGCCTGCGCCGCCGGCTGCCGCCGCCGTGGGCCGTCCCGCCACGACCGACTCCTTGACGTGCTGCCTGAAGGCCTCGACGCACTCGGCGTTGCCCTTCGCCTTGGCACACTGCAGCGCCGTCTTGCCGTTCTCAGCGCACGCCGCCGTGTCTGCGCCCGCCCGCAGCAAGCGCCGCACGACAGCGGGGTGGTTGAAGAGGGCGGCGGCTATCAGCGCGGTGTAGCCGCCGCTGTCCTGCAAGTTGACCTCCGCGCCGCGCCGAATCAGCAAGTCGACCAACCGCTCGTGGCCGTAGTTGGCGGCGCCCATCAGCAGCGTGAGGCCGCTCACCTTGCCTCTCTCGTACGTCGCGTCGGCCCGCCCACCACTGTCGAGCCACTCCAGCACTGCCGCCTCGTCGCCTCGCTCAGCAGCTGTCACGACCTCGTCGGAGACTGCCACGCCACCGCTCGACGCCCGCTCCGCCGCCGCCGGCGACAGATTACTCGGTCGCACCCGCACGCTCTCGCCGCCGCCCTCGAGCGCCACAGCGTACCGCCCGCCCTCGAAGCTCCCCGCCACGCCCCGCTGCCCGTTTAGCTCGGGGCGGGAAGAGAGCCCGCCGAGCTCGACTCGCTGGCCAAGCAGCGGCGCGTCCACAGCTGCCGCTGCCGCGCCCGAGGAAGCGACGTCCGCCCCTGCTCGGCCCTCCGCAGCCGCCGCCGCTGCCTCAGACAAGATCTTGACGCACTCGGCGTGGCCCTTCTCCTTGGCCCACTGCAGCGCCGTCATGCCGCTCGCACTGCGCGCCGCAGCATCTGCGCCCGCCCGCAGCAAGCGCCGCACGACGGCGGGGTGGTTGAGGAGGGCGGCGTGCATCAGCGCGGTGCCGCCGTCGCTGTTCTGCAGGTTGATCTCAGCGCCGTGCTGCAGCAGCAAGTCGACCACCCGCTCGTGGCCTTGGTAGGCGGCGTGCATCAGCGCGGTGAAGCCCTTGCTGTCCTGCAGGTTGATCTCCGCGCCGTACCGCAGCAGCAACTTGATCACACGCTCGTGGCCGTAGTTGGCGGCGCCCATCAGCAGCGTGATGCCGCTCACCTCGCCTCTCTCGTACGTCGCGTCGGCCCGCCCGCCGCGGTCAAGCCACGCCAGCACCGCCTGCTCGTCACCTTGCTTACCTGCTGCCGCGACCGCATCGGGGGCTGTCACGCCACCGCTCCACGCCCGCTCCGCAGCCGGCGACAGATTACCCGGCCGCACCCGCACGCTCTCGCCGCCGCCCTCGAGCGCCACAGCGTACCGCCCGCCCTCGAAGCTCCGAGCCACGCCCCGCTGCCCGTTTAGCTCGGGGCGGGAGGAGAGCCCGCCGAGCTCGACTCGCTGGCCAAGCGCGTCCACAGCTGCCGCGCCCGAGGAAACGCCGCCCGCACCTGCCATCGCCAGGGCGGTCATTTTCTTTTTCCAAGAGGTTTCCTACTTTTCCGGCGAATTCTTCAATCCGAGCCCGCGAGGGCCGCCAGTCGCGCTTCCGACGAGGCTGCGCCGCTTCGCCATGAGCCGCCTCATCCGCTCCTTCACCGACTTGCGCGCCCGCAATAACGCCGGCGAGGACGTCGACTTTGGCGCCTTTGCGGACAAGGTAGTCCTCGTCGTCAATGTAGCGAGGCACTGAGACACGAGGGAGGTGCCGGGCCTCGTCGGGCTGGGAAGCAAGTACTTTGAGAAGGGCCTGCGCGTGCTCTTCTTTCCGTGCAACCAGGCACAGTCCAGTTCCAGTCTACCCACCACCACTGTTGCGACGCCTCGCCCTCCCCGGGCCCATCCCACCCACCGCGGTCTACCCACCGCCGCCTCGCCCTGCCCGCCCCAGTTTGCCTCCGAGGAGCCCGGCACCGCGGCCGACATCAAGGCCTTCTACGTCGACGCCCACAAGTTGCCGGCGGCGTCGCTCATGGAGAGAGTCGATGTGAACGGCGCGAACACGCACGAGGTCTACAAGTTCCTGAAGGGCACACCCGAACTTGGTGAGAAAATCGAGTGGAACTTCACCAAGTTCGTCGTCGGGCGTGACGGACAGGTTCTGGGACGGTATCCCCAGCGGACGAAGCCAAAGGACTTTGACAAGATGTTTGCCGAGATGTTTGCGCAGGCGGAGAGCTGATGTGTCCGAACTGTCTCTGAGCGCGGCGGGCAGTGGTCACACACAGGTGACGCATGACGGGCTCGCGGAACAGGCCCATCTTGGAGCCACCGCGAGCGCTGAAGACCTGCACCTGTGTGGGAGCTATTGGTCGCCGGCTCTGTCCTGCTCTCTTTTGGTGAGAAATCGCGTGTGTGACACACGAGTGTGCGTGTGTCGGTGTGTGAGGTGTGTGTGTATGTGCATCGTGCATGGTGCGTCCCTCCTCCCTGTGTGCGCGGTCTCTGACACAGACGAGCGAGCACGATCGAAAAGGGAGGACGCGGCCAGCAAGCGCGCTCTTGCTGGTCAGGACCCCACCCACCAATAAAAATACACGAGCGAAAACAGTGCTAACTGCTATGAAAAGGCACACCTATGGGACGACATCAGTACACGGCCGTGGGCAGATGACTGCTTCGCGGCGCCGGCCACCGCGCTCGCACTGCGCGGCGGACCCCAGCTTCCGAGAGCGCGCCCCTCTCAACGCGCGCTCGCATGCGCGCGCCCCACCCGTGTCCATGTCGCAAAACGCACGCCCGCACACCCCATGCGCTAGCCTCGCCCTCCCACAGTTTCCCGCCTCTAGTACGCATCTCATGCCTCCGCATGCGAGCTCCTGCTGTCGGCTACCGCCGCTTCGCGGCTCTGCCCTGCTGCTGCTGCTGATGATGATTTTCGGAGGAGAGGAGCGCGTCGATCGGCGGCCTGCGGGTTGGAGACAGAAAGCTGGAGACGAGAGACGCGGGGCGGTGGGAGACGGGGTTCGCAGCGTCGGGCCAGCGCAGCGACAGGGTTCGGTGTCTGCCGGTGTGTCGCCTGCCGCGACCACAGTAGCCTCCGGGCGTAAAGGGGTACTGCGGTCTTTTAGGCGTGCCGCATCTAGGGAGTGCGTGCGTGCGGAGGAAGCGGAGCACGCCCGAGGCGAGCAGGTAGAACCAGAACGAGTTGAGGACGAACGGGATCGGCATCGTCGCCCACGCGACCACAAAGTCTGCCCTCGAGAAGGCTGCGTACGAGCAGTCCGCCATCTTGTAAAACAGGTACGGCGACGGCAGGATGCGGACCACGAAGAAGGAGACGGCCCACGCGACGCCATTGACGAGGTAGAGGCGCGAGCGCTCGTGGCCGAGCTTCAGCAGGATGATGCGCACGTGCTGCCCGATGTTTGTCACCTCGGTGCAGACAAAGAAGAGGACGACGAGGAGCGCGCGGTGCCGCAGCGTCGCGTACGGGAAGAAGAGGATGGAGAGGAGGTGGTGGCCGAGCAGCAGCGGGTGGCGGACCTGCTTGTGCGCGAGGCAAAACACCGTGTCGTACGCCATGTACCCGCACGAGAGGCCGACGGCGCGCAGCGCGAGCGGCGTCGGCGCTGCCGCCAGCGCGGTCGCGTGGTCAGAGATGGGAAGCTCCCACAGCGCCTGCACCGCGAGGAACGGCGCCGTCAGCGCCGGAAAGAGCGAGACGACCGAATTCGTGAGGAAGACGAGGTCGTCGGCGGAGCGATTGGCAGCGACGACCGGCGCGATCAGGCCTCGCCACAGCACCAACAGCACACACGACGCGGCAAAGCTCCAAGAAAAGGACTGGAAGAGGATGGTCGCCTCGTCGCCGAGCGTCTCCTGGATGTAGGGCAGCGGCAGGAGCATGCCAACCCCGGCACGCGCTCCTCCCGGGACCGAGGGTTGAGCAAACCCTGCCCCCACAAAAGCGCCGGCGAACCCACTCGGAAGCCGAGGAAGAAAAACCCCTGTCGTCGAGTTCAGGACCCCACGCTAGTGTGCGTGTTGGTGTCTGCAACCTCCTGGACCCCTAACAGCAAGGCGGCCGGCGGGGGGCGAAGAGGGAGGGGGGGTCTGGTCCTGTCGGCGGGAGGCTTGGTCTGCCTGCAGGCGAAGAGCTTTTCTCCCTTTCTGAACCCTGTGGTGTGACGTGAGAGAGAGATCTTCCTTCTTCTTGTTGTGACGTGTGAGCACGCGGGGCACCAGACCGAACAAAGCAAAATGTCCGAACCCTGGGTTCCGGGGGGGGGGACCGCTTCGCTCGCACGGGAGACGGCGCGTTTAGCCGCGAACAGGGCCGTCCAACGCCTCGAGATAGGCCATGCTCTGGCGGGCTCGCGAGCGGCGCGCACCGCGGTACCTGCAGGGTACAAGCCGGCTGGGAGCCTATTCACAGAGGGTTCACGGGTATTTTTTCGCTTCGCTGCGCGGCCTGGGAATAGGTAGGTAGGTGGGGCACGGAGCCTGGCGATTGGCGCCCGCAATAGGTCGGTAGGTAGGGCGTTTTGGTGCGAGTCATGGAGCAAACCCCCTATCTCGCTAGTAGCCCGAACCCTGTGGTGTGACGTGTGAGGCGCTGCCTAGACTCCACAGCACACCCCGTGCCAAGACGATGGCGACCCAGCCGTCCGAGGCGGCCGGCGGCACGTCGGCGTCCAAGCCGGCGGCGAGCAAGCCGACGGCCGGGCGGCAGCGCGGCGCTCAGGAGATGCTGACGGCGGCGGCCGTCGCCGTCGCCGCCTTCCTCATGCCGTCGGAGGACGCGAGCGCCATCTTCCGGGTGGTGTCTGCGGTCCTGGCGCTGGCGGCGCTCTTCGCCGCGTCGGTGTGCCTCGAGCTCTACCAGGAGTCCAAGGCCAAGCAGGAGGCCAAGGCCGGCAAGAACATGTTTGAGGTGCAGACGATGCGGCTCGAGCTGCCGCCCAAGCCGCCGGGCGGAGTGTTTGGCGCGGCGCGCGGGATGCCCGAGCTGCTCAAGGGGTACCCGGTGACGACAGCGACCGAGGTCAAGCTGCTCGACCACGGCTTCCTCCTCACCTCCGCCACGCCGGACGGCACCCGCCGGCTGCGCGTGCGGCTGCTCGGAGGCGACGCCGTCGGCGGCCGAGAGTAGATGGAGCACGCGCGTCCGCCTCTCTCGGCCTGGCTAGGCGGGCCACGCTTTTGGGACACGCAGCGCTCCGGGCCGCGCCCCCCCCCTCTCCGCACCGCACTCTCCGACGCCCCTCGATCCGGCGCAGAGGGCTCTAGCCGCGCCGCCCCCTCTGCCCCGGTGCGCAGGTTGGGAGACGGGAGGAGAAGCGTGGGAGGAGCAGCGGAGGCGGTGGATCGAGGCGGTGCGCGCGGCGCCGCGGGTGGCCGAGGTGGCCCGCATCGGCTGGCGCGACGTTCCCTCCTTCGGCGCCGCCGCCTCGCCGCGCGCTGTCGGCGGCGGCGAGGGCGGCTGCGGCGGCGGCGAGGGCGAGCAGCTGCAGACACTTCGTAGACACTTCGTAGACACTTCGAGGACACTTCCTAGGCGAGGGCGAGCAGCGGCTGCAGACGGGGGCGGTGGTGCGGGTGGGAGGGGTGGTGTCGAAGCCGGAGCTGAACGGCAAGTTCGGGACGGTGCTGCGCGCGGCCAACGAGGCGGGAAGGCTCGGCGTGCGCTTGGAGGGCGGAAAGGAGAGCAAATCTCCACCTTTTGCCCAGCAGCCGGAGACCTCGAGCTGGTTCCTAACCAGCGGGAGGAGTGATCCGTCAGGAGCCAATCTCCCTCCACGCGAGGAACGTGTCTCCGCTCCCGCCGCTCGACACCCTCGGCGCGGCGGCGGCGGCGGCGGCGGCGTCTCTCGCCCCTCCCCTCCGGACCTTTGCTCTGCGTCTGGCCTGCAGGTGTCTCGGTGGCGGCGCTGCGCTCCTTCTCGTCGGCGCACGCGCACCTCGTCAGCGGGCTGACGGTGGCGGAGGCGAGATGCAGCCGAGAGAGAGCCGAGATGTTGCCGAGAGATAGCCGAGAGGGAGCCGAGATGCAGCCTAGAGGCAGCCGAGAGAGAGCCGAGAGAGAGCCGAGGCGGACCCGAGGCGGAGCCGAGGCGGAGCCGAGACCAGGCGAGGCACGCCATCATCGAGCCGCTCACCTGCGAGTGCGGCCTCTCGCTCGCCCGCGCGCTGCACAGGCGCCGAGGCCACCGCCTCCCCCGCCCAAGACGCGTCCCCAGCCGACACGCACAGCCCGGCGCGTGTGCAGGCTCGGGGCGGAGGACGAGGCGGGGCGGCCCCTCGCGGCGCCGGCGACTCTCTTCCTCATCGCGGCCGACGCGGAGCCTCTCGACGCCGTCCTCGCGGCGGCGGAGCGACACGCCGCCTCCACCGACAGCCCCGGCGACGCGGCCCCGTGGCTGGTGGTCGGGTCCCGCCTCCTCTTCTCCAGCGGCCGGCCCTTTCGTTGCGCTAGGCGACGCGTACCTGTGGCTGTCTCCGTTTTGCACAAACTTCCACGCGCCGCCCGCCGAGGCGTGGCCTCTCTCGTGGTGGCAGGGCCCGTTCCGGGAGGGCGTCAAGAGCATCGGGAAGGCGCGGCGCGCTCTGACCGAGAGCAGCGGGGGGAGGGCGTCGGGAGGAGCGCGGCGTGGGAGCGAGGAATAGGCGGCGGTGCTCTTCCAGCCGTGGGAGGAGCCGCGCGCACTCACGCACGGATGGTGCGTCTGGCAGCTGCACACCGCCCTCGCCGCCGAGGTGCGAGATATGGGGAGATATGGAGAGAGATGTGTCCACCGCCCTCGCCGCCGAGGTGGGTCCTCCCTCCTGTCCGCCCGCTCGACCAGCGCACGCTGGCGACACGTCCGAGACACGTCCGAGACACGTCCGAGACACGTCCGAGACACGTCCGAGACACGTCCGAGACACGTCCGAGACACGTCGCTGCTCAGGTGCCGCTCTCGGTGGTCTGCTCCGAGGCGGAGGCGGCGCGGCTGCGCGAGGCGCCGAGACTCGCCGAGATTCGCCGAGATTCGCCGAGATTCGCCGAGATTCGCCAGAGAGAGGGAGAGGAGAGAGAGAGAAAAAAGTCGCGGCTGCCCGCGGCGTGGCGGACGAGTGCGCGTCCCTGACGCGTCCCTGACACGTCCCCACTCCTCCCAGGCGCTGCTCGGGCGCATGGACGAAGTTGTGTCGGCGTGGGACCGAAAGGCGGAGGGCGGCTGGCGCAAGGCCGAGGCACTTCCTAGACATTTCCTAGACACTTCCTAGACACTTCCTAGGCGGAGGGCGGCTGGCGCAAGGCCGAGGCGGGCTGCAGCGCAGAGGACCTCAGGGCCAAGGTCGAGCGCGGCATCGACCGCGGCTGGGAGGGCGGCGGCGACGAGTTTGGCTCGCGCCTCATCCAGGCCATCCACAAGTGGCTGCTGGGAGAGGCGCGGGGAGCAGCCACCAGCCACCAGCCACCAGACACCAGCCACCAGACACGAGACACCAGACACCAGACACCAGACACCAGACACCATGGCGTCTCAGCCACCAGTCAGCTAGTCCAACCTCCCCCTAACCGCAGGCGCGCGCGGCCCTCGACGAGATGCCGACAGAGGAGCGCGGCCTCTCGCGGCTGCTCGAGCGGGTCGCCTCGCTGCTGCAGGCCTGCTCGCCCGCCTCGGCTCCGTGGATGGCGGCGGGGGCACCCGCCTGGTCCGTGGAGAGGGGTCACCGCCCCTGGCCCTCGCCGCTGCAGGAGCATGGCGAGCTGGAGGCGGCCGAGCCGCTGCTGCGTGAGCAGTACGAGGCGCGCCGCGCGGCGCTCGGCCTCAAGCACGCCGACACTCTCGACGGCGTCAACAACCTGGCGCTGCTGCTGCACCAGCAAGGCAAGCTCGAGGAGGCGGAGCCGTTCTCTCGCCTGAAGCTCGAGGGCTGCCGCGAGGCGCGAGGCGACAACCACCCCGACACCGTCACCGCGCTCGACACCCTCTCGCAGCTGCTCTCCGACATCGGCCAGCCCGACGAGCGCCTCGCCACGGCCCCTCCCGGGCCCTTCCCCATGACGCCTCTCCTCGAGCCCCTCCTCCAGGCAAGCTCGACGAGGCGCTGCCGCTGAAGCGCGAGTCCCTCGCCGTCAAGCGGCAGGCGCACCTCCCTCCCCTCGGCCGCTCCCTCCCCTCGGCCGCAGCTCGGCGACAGCTCGGCCACGTCCGTGCCACGTCCATGACACGTCCATGCCATGCCCCAGGTGCTCGGCGACCGGCACCCGGACACGCTCCTCTCGGTCAACAACCTCGCGGCGCCGCCCTCTCGCCTCGGCCGCCCTCGCGAGGCTCGCCCGAGGTCGAGCCGAGGCTCGCCCGAGAGTAGGTGCTGCTCTCCGACCTCGGCCGCTCGAGCGGCAACACAAACATGTTGCGCGAGGCGGAGCCGCTCAAGCGGGAGGCGCTGGCGGGCTGCCGCGAGGTGCTTGGCAACCGGCACCCGCACACGCTCGCCTCCATCTCCAACCTCGCGGACATGCTCATGCAGCTCGGCCACCTCGACCCGCGCGCCTTCGAGGAGGCGGAGCCGCTCTGCCGCGAGGCGCGAGACACCCCTGACACCTCCCTGACACCTCCCTGACACCTCCCTGACACCTCCCGGACACCTCCCGGACACCTCCCGGACACCTCCCGGACACCTCCCGGACACCTCCCGGACACCTCCCAACTCACGGGGTGCAGCCGGGATGTGCCCACCTCACACGGCCAGTGCTCTCCGCGAAGTTTCCGTGAGTCGTTCCGGGAGCGGTGCTGCAGGCGCTGGCTGGCTCGCGGGAGGTGCTCGGCGACGGCCACCCCGACACGCTCAAGTGCGCCGGCAACCTCGCCGCCTGCTTGGTCGACGTCTCAAAGTACATCCAGGACGAGGCGGCGCACTTGCAAGAAGCTTCTCTGAAGCTTGGTGGAGCCTTCCTGTAGGTACATCCAGGACGAGGCGGCGCACTTGCGCTGCTTGCGCGAGGCGGAGCCACTCTACGCCAACGCGGCCGCCGGCTTTGCGCGCGGGCTCGGCTCGACGCACCCGTCGACTCTCTCGTACGTCTCGGAGCGCGCGCGCGTGCTGATGGACTTGGGCCGCGCCTCCGAGGCGGAGGAGATACAGCGCGACTCCGTCTCCGCCTGCCGCGCGGCGCTGGGAGACTCGCACCCCGAGACCCTCATCGGCGCGCCGCCCTCCGCCCTCCGCCCACCCGCCAGCCGCCCTCCGCCCTCCGCCCTCCGCCCACCCGCCAGCCGCCCGCTGACCACTGCCCCCGCCCCCCCGTCGCGGCGCGGCAGGCATCACGCACCTCGCGGGCGTGCTGCGCGCGCAGGAGAAGCTCGCCGAGGCGGAGCCACTCGCGCGGGAGGCGGAGATGAGCAGAGATGCGCCGAGATGCGTTGGGACGAGCCGAGATGCGTCGAGAGGAGTCGAGAGGAGTCGAGTTGAGAACCCCCTCCCCAACTTAGACTGCGTGCGTGTAGACGCCCCCCCGCCCCCCCTCCTCCTCTCTCGCCCAGGTGCTCGCCGCGTGGCGCTCGCACGAGGCGGGCGACAAGGTGCCTCGCAACACGCTCACCTCGCTCAACATCCTCTGCGACCTTCTCCACTCGCAGGGCAAGGACGCCGAGGCGGAGCCGCTCGCGCGCGAGGCGCAGGCGGGCTTCCTCGGCGCGCTCGGCCCGCAGCACCCCTTCACGCTCTCGTCGGTCGACCTGCTCGCCGCCATCCTGGTCGGCGTCGGGCGGCGGGCGGAGGGCGAGGCGCTGGTGGCGCAGTTCAAGTTCGACGAGGAGGGCGGCATGTCGCCGGGCGGCAAGGGCGGCGGCAAGGGCGGCGGCAAGGGCGGCAAGGGGAAGGCCGCCAAGGCCAAGGGCGGCAGCAGCAGCGGGCGGGGCAGCGCCAAGAAGAGCAAGGGGAAGGCGAACGGCGGCACGGCTCTCCCGATCGAGGAGGTGGACTAGCGCGGCCGGGGCGTGGAGGCGTGGAGGCGCGTGGAGGTTGCCACGACGGCCGTTCAAGGGATCTGGGCTGAGGGACCAGCGGGCGCATCACGCGCGGCGTTCACTCTCCGTTTCTCTAGTAGCCGAACGCGCGAGATGGCCGATGGCGCGGGGCCCGACACGACCTGGATGTGTGCGTGATTTCTCTCTCTCCGACCTGTCTCATATCTCTGACTCTCTGTTGCGTGGCGCGGGATTATGATATATAAGCCACAGACAATGAGAGTATATGAAAAAGCCAGAGAGCCACCGCGAGCTGCGCTACCCTGGTCGGGGCTCGTACAGGACTGTCACCTCCCTCACATCCGCCTCCCCCTCGGCAAGCGTCGAGGCGGCTGGCTTCTGCAGCCTGACTGCGTAGGCCTGCGTGTTTTTCGGGTGGCTGTAGCCGCAAGGCAGCACTCCGAGCCTCAAGTAGTTGCCGTGCGTCACCACGGCCACCGTCGTCTCATCTCCGTGCGCCGCGTAGAGCTGCTGCACCTCGGGATGCTCCCACAGCCAGGCGACGAACGCCTCCCACTCGCCCGGGCCGACGGCGTCGTTGGAGCCGCCGACGTACGACCAGTCGAACTGCTCGTCGACGTCGAATCCAGCGCCGGCGAGGGCGGCACGCTGCTCATCGCGAGGCAGCGGGCAGGAGCCGGGGGAGAGAAAGTCAGAGTCAAAGTACTTGTGTTCGGAGAGGAACGGCGCGACCGTGACACGCGTGCCAAAGGCGACCGCCGCAGTCTCCATGGCGCGCATCAGATATGACGAGAGGACGAGGTGCGGAGCGACGCCGAGCGCTGTGAGCGCGGCTGCGGCGGCCTCCGCCTCCGCCATGCCTTTTTTGGTAAGCATCGGGTCGCGCTTCATCCGCAGAAGCACCTTATTCCACCACGGCAGCTCGTTGTTCTCGGACTGAGCGTGCCGCATGAGGATGAGGTTCATCCTCCCGCCAGAGGGCGGCAGCGCCGAGGCTCCGTCGTCGCAGAACGGACCGATGCGCTGAGCGTCGAGGACAGCGAAGAGCGCGAGCAGCATGAGGAGGAGACTTCCCCACTTGACGAGACGACGAGGCAGGGCGGTGCTGGATGTGCACGCGCCGTGACTGGAGGAGGCCTCGCGCGCCTTGTCGGCCGACTCCGGCGAGAGCAGGGATGGCGTGGGCGCGTCGATCATCTCCCTCGCGAAAACAGAAGAGTGCGCGTGAATATACCCGGGTACGACACGACGCGCCCCCGCACACATGCTCTCACACCCCGCCGCACACCGCGCGGGCTGATCGACTCCAACAAGCTCCTCACTTTCTTCGATTAGTGCAGCTGAGCCACTAAACGGCCCGCTGTCAGAGCCCCCCGATACCTCACTGCCCCGGCGCCCACGCCTCGATCTTCTTGGGCAGCAGCTGGTCCGACAGGTCCTCCCCGTGGCCAAGGCAGCCGCTTTCACCCTTGCCCCAGGTGAACACGGCGCCGTCGGCGGTGCTGGCGATGCTGTGCCCGCCTCCAGCCGACAGGGTGACGACGCGCCGCCCCGCCAACGCCTCGATCTTTTTGGGCAATAGCTGGTTCTGCCCGTCGCCGTGGCCCAGCCGGCCCCAGGCTCCATTGCCCCAGCTCCAGAGGGCGCCGCCGGCGGTGAGGGCGCCGCTGTGGTACAGCCCAGCCGAGACCGCGACGACGCGCTGTCCAGCAAAGGCCTCGATCTTCTTCGGCAGCAGCAGCTGGTTCTGCTCGTCGCCGTGGCCCAGCCGGCCAGAGGCTCCCCAGCCCCAGCTCCAGACGCTGCCGTCGGCGGTGAGGGCGAGGCTGTGGGCTGCTCCAGCCGACACGGCGACGACGTGCGGCCCAACAAAGGCCTCGACTTTCTTCGGCAGCAGCTGGTCCTGCTCGTCGCCGTGGCCCAACCGGCCAGAGTCTCCATAGCCCCAGCTCCAGAGGGCGCCGTCGGCGGTGATGGCGAGGCTGTGGGCTGCTCCAGCCGACACGGCGACGACGCGCAGCCCAGCAAAGGCCTCGATCTGCTTCGGCAGCAGCTGGATCTGCTGGTCGCCGTGGCCCAGCTGGCCGTGGTATCCAAAGCCCCAGCTCCAGACAGCACCGTCCGCGATGATGGCGAGGCTGTGGTACTCTCCAGCCGACACGGCGACGACGCGCTGTCCAGCAAAGGCCTCTTTCTTCTTGGCCAGCAGCTGGTTCTGCTCGTCGCCGTGACCCAACTGGCCAACGTCTCCACCGCCCCAGCTCCAGACGGCTCCGTCAGCGGTGGTGGCGAGGCTGTGAGACATTCCAGCCGACACGCTCACGGCATGCTCCCCGCCCAGCGGAGAAGGGAGGCGGGTCGGCGTCTTGAGCTGCGTCACGCCCTCGCCGTGACCGAGGAGGCCTGGCTGCCAATGCGCAGCCGAGCCGCACGACGAGAGCCGCCCCTCGCCGTCGATGAAGACGCTGTGCCGTTCGCCCGCCGCCGCCCTCGCCGGCGGGTTGGCCTCGCGCAGCAGCGCAGCGAAGCACAGCCACCGCACGGCGCAGCCCTCGCCCTCTGGCTGCGCCGGCAGCTCGAAGCCGCGCTCTTGCGCCCACAAGCGGATGGCCTCTACCGCGAGCGAGGCGTAAAAGAGCAGCGAGACGGCCGCGACGCGAGCGATGTTGGCGGGGTCGCAGCGAGAGAGGGCGCGCACGAGGAGCTCCGTGGGGAGGTCGAGGAGGCGGGCGGGCGGCGGCGTCTCTGGCGGGGGAACGGCGGTGGCGGCGGGGGCGAGGCGGCTCGAGCGGCGGCGCGGCAGGGTGGACATCATCAGGAAAAGAATTTCGAGCGGTACAGGCCGACTTTTTAATTCTTTCCGTATAATATTTAAAGTTTGTACTTGTACTTGTAGCCTGCTCGCTTGGTGCGAAAGAACGATGCGCCTTAGCGCCCAAGTTTCAGGCCGATCCTCCTCGAGAGGTACCCTCAGCCTTGTGCTGTATGGGTACAGTATCCGTGGTGATCTCTTCATTCCATGCTCCGACGAAGTGCGTGATGAAACAGCTGGAGACTCTGTGTGGCTGTGAGCTTGTCGCCGAACTACGATTGAATGTTTTTGCGGGGGATGATTTGGTGGAACGTGTGGGCGCGGCCGGAGCACCGCTGCTCAGGTGCACCGTGCACTATGATAAAGTTGAAAATCGGCTCTCAGAGCGCTTTTCTCCGCGCGCCTTTGCGACAGAAGCGGTATTCTCTGTCGATGTGGACACATTCTATTCGTGCTCTGCGCTCCACCGAGCCTTTGAGGTTTGGCGACTGCACCCGCGCTCGGCGGTCGGCTTCCACCCTCGCGACCTACGTCCGGGAAACGCAGAAGTGTGGGATCGTTCGTACACTGCACCATGGCCGCGCACCGCGATGCTGGTCACTAAGGGCGCTCTACAGCACCGCGACGCTTTTGCCGCATTATTTCGGGAAGCCTATGCGCCGCTGCGTGCACTAGTCGACCGGGCACTGACAGGAGAGGACTACCTGATGGCCTTCGTGCAGGCGCGCGAACTCAGACATGACTTTTACACGGTGTGCCTGCCACTGGCCGACGCGTGCCACTTCAACTGCGCGCCTGCTGCCGGCAGCCTGGGGGCACGGAGCAGCAGGCGACGCCCTTACGTGCTCGCGGAGCTTTTCAAGCGCCTCGATTCACCCTTCACGAATGGCACCGCCCTGCAGCTCTCTGGGGCCACGAGCGGCCCACTTTGCCTGAGTAAGCCCGTCAAGCCCGGTAACTTGGGCACCTGCAACGATAGTGAGGCCCTTCGGCCAGCATACAACCCGTCCAGTGCGCGTGTGGCGATTGCGAAGAAGGCCATTTCTGAACTACAGAAGCATAGCGACGAGTATACTCATTTTAAAAATGCATAAACCATGCGCATGGTCATAAGCGGCTGTCGTCGACGAAGCAGACTCCGAAAGCGAAACGTGGCCTCCGTACGTCCGTAGTGGCCTCAGCCCTCGCAATTTGTGAAAAAAATATCGCGCATATTATCGGGCTCACAATCACTTCGCCGTGGGTGGTGGACTCGGTGGGTGCTGTGAGAGAAAGTTCTTTTGCTTGTGTAAGTGCCAGCGCGCGCCAATCCCTTTTATGCTTGTGTTAGTGCCAGTGCGCGCCCCCGGTTTGCGGTCTTCCGCGGCCGCCGACCGGACCCCCCCTGGCGGTCGGTCGGTCTGCGCTGGGCGCTCAAACCGCGAACTCGGCCTGTTCACTACAAGATGACGCTCGTATTACAAGGCTGAAAACACCTCCCCCTCGCACCTCGAGCCGCCCCGATTCTCGCAAGACGTGTGAGCATGAGGGGGGGGGTGGTAACCCCCTACAGGTGCCCCTGGCCAGGCCTCTGACCGAGAGGGCTGAGGGGGAGATGGCACGGAGCTCCGTAGTCGACCGTGCTTGTGTTATCATCCACATGTTACGACGACACGACCGCCCACATCCCACAACACTGCCGGGTTCGAACATGGCATTCCGACCCGCGGCTCGAAGCAAACGGGAAAGATTTTTACGCACGAGGACGCTCAGCAAGTCCGCACCAGCGACTGCCTGTGCCCGTCACAAGTGGAAGTGCCCGCAGAGTAGAGATGGGTAAAGACGATCTGTGTACATGGACCGGGCGACAGGCGCATAGATTGACGACACGCTCCGTTTCAGCTGGTTTCCGCCCCGCCCCCGTAGGCCGTAGAGTAGATTGCTCACCGCCCCATACCCCACGCCTCGATCTTCTTGGGCAGCAGTTTGTCCGACAGGTCCTCTCCGTGGCCTAGGCAGCCGTGGCCGCCCTTGCCCCAAGCAAAGGCGGAACCGCCGGCGGTGATGGCGAGGCTGTGGTAGCCTCCAGCCGACACGGCGACGACGCGCTGGCCCGCCAAGGCCTCGACCTTCGTCGGCTGCAGCTGGCGCTGCTCGTCGCCGTGGCCCAGCTGGCCGTAGAGACCACTACCCCAGCTCCAGATGGCGCCGTCGGCGGTGATGGCGAGGCTGTGGCAGCCTCCAGCCAACACGGCGACGACGCGCGGCCCAACAAAGGCCTCGACCTTCTTGGGCAGCAGCTGGGTCTGCTGGTCGCCGTGGCCCAACGTGCCGGAGGTTCCATCGCCCCAGCTCCAGACACTGCCGTTGGCGGTGAGGGCGAGGCTGTGGCCGCGCGTAGCCGACACAGCAACGACGCGCTGCCCAGCAAAGGCCTCGACCTTCTTCGGCAGCAGCTGGTCGCGGGGGCCCAGCCGGCCTGAGGCTCCCCAGCCCCAGCTCCAGACGGCGCCGTCGGCGGCGAGGGCGAGGTTGTGCAGACCTCCCGCCGACACAGCGACGACGCGCTGGCCAGCAAAGGCCTCGACCTTCTTCGGCAGCAGCTGGCTTTGCCTGTCGCCGTGGCCCAACTCGCCATCCTCTCCACGGCCCCAGCTCCAGAGGCTGCCATCGGCGGTGATGGCGAAGCTGTGGAAGCCTCCAGCCGACACAACGACGACGCGCTGTCCAGCGAAGGCCTCGACCTTCTTCGGATGCAGCTGGTTCTGCCCGTCGCCGTGGCCCAAGCAGCCAAAGGCTCCACCGCCCCAGCTCCAGACGGCACCGTCGGCGGCAAGGGCGAGGCTGTGCACAAGTCCAGACGTCACGCTCACGGCACGCTCGCCGCCCAGCGGAAAAGGGAGGCGTGTCGGCGTGTTGAGCTGCGTCACGCCCTCGCCGTGCCCGAGCAGTCCTGGCATCCAGTTCGCAGCCGAGCCGCACGACGAGAGCCGCCCCTCGCCGTCGATGAAGACGCTGTGCCGTTCGCCTGCCGCCACCCTCGCCAGCAGGTTGGCCTCGCGCAGCAGCGCAGCGAAGCACAGCCACCGCACGGCGCAGTCCTCGCCCTCTGGCTGCGCCGGCAGCTCGAAGCCGCGCTCTTGCGCCCACAAGCGGATGGCCTCTACCCCGAGCGAGGCGTAAAAGAGCAGCGAGACGGCCGCGACGCGAGCGATGTCGGCGGGGCTCTCGCAGCGAGAGAGGGCGCGCACGAGGAGCTCCGTTGGGAGGTCGAGGAGGCGGACGGGCGGCGGCGTGCCTGGCGAGGGAGCAGTGGTGGCGGCGGTGGCGAGGCGGCTCGAGCGGCGGTGCGGCAGGGTGGACATCATCATCGCGAGGAAAAGAATCTTGAGGACGAGAAAGGGGAAACCCGGTAGGCGGGGCTAACCCTCGGAGACGTGTTATGGCCCTGCGACCGCGCACCCCCCCCCCTTACTTAGCTCTTAGGGGTCAGGGCTCTCTAGCCCGTAGCCCGATACCGAGCGTCCGGCCAACTGGGTGCGCTTCTCAGCTCCCCGGTCCTGGGCGTGAGGTTACTGACCGCACTCCAAGTGCTCCAAGTGCTCCAAGAATTTCGAGCCGCCTGCTGTGAGAGAAAGTTCTTTTGCTTGTGTAAGTGCCAGCGCGCGCCAGTCCCGTGCCTAGTGTCGTGAGGGAGTTTACTCGAATTGTAAATTCTTTTCCTGTGCCAGTCCCGTACCCGGTGTCGTGCGAGGGAGTTTTGTTGTAAAATTCTTTTCCTGGGCACGGGACTGGCGCGCACTGGCACTTACACAGTGTAAATAAATAAATAGAGCAGTCATCTCCAGGGAGAGATGGGCGACGCACACGAACACAGAGGAGTGCGCACCCCGCCCCGCTCGCAGGGCGTGCATCACACAGGTGGACTGTGTGACTCCTCGGGTTTCTGGGACTCAGAGGTGTGCTAGTCGCTATTCTCCGACAATTCCGACATATCTGACGGGCAGTTCGGGCTCGAGCGGTCGCGGTCGCGGCCAGCGCGTGAGGCCTGGCTAGGGTTGCCGGGCGAGAGCTCGACCCACGCGCCGGAGCGCGCGTGGTGCTTGAGCAGCCGGGCGGTCGCCGCAGCCACCTCGAAGGGTAGCTCGTCGAGCCACTCGCCGAATGTGCCCTCGTCCTGCGCCGCAGCGAGGAAATGCTCACCTAAGCCGTACGCGCGGCAGGCCCGGTAGAGCGCCTCGTTCTGGATCTCCTCCGGCGCCTCGGAGTCGTAGCCGCAAACGGAGGAGCCGGCAGAAGAGGCCCGCTTCGCAGGCGGCGCGTCAGGCGACGAGGAGCGCGAACGCCGCGGCGGCACACCGTCGCCGCGCGCGGAGAGCGCGTTCCTGTCGACGCGGGGCGCAGCCTTGCGCCGGCCGCGCTTGGCCGGCCGGATTGTGAGGCTGCCGGCAGGCGGCTGTGCAGCCGCGGCTGCGTGCGACTGAGCCGCAGGCGCGGCGGCGGGCGCGGCGGCTGGCGCGGCGGCGGGCGCCGCGGCGGCGGGCGACTAACACAGTGTTGTGCGAGGGAGGGCACTTGGAGCACTTGGAGTGCAGTCATCAACCGCACATCCAGGGCCAGGGAGCTGAGAAGCGCACCCAGCGGGCCGGATGATTGGCATCGGGTTGCGGGCAAGAGAGCCCTAGCCCTGGGGGTGCGCGTTCGCAGGGAAAGGGCCGTAAAGTAAACCCGGGTCTCCGAGGGTTGGCTCTGCGCTCCGGGTTTCCCCTAGCAGCAGACCGCCCCCTCTACTCGGAGCTATAATGAACACCAGACCTGAACACGACACGCACTCTCACACGACGTCACCGCTCAGGGCCCCTTCGCGCAAGGTCCTCATCCTCACTCCGGAGGAGGCTCCCCTCTCCTCTGAGTTCTTCCTCTTGTTCGCCTTCCGATGATCATCCGACGGGCGCGGGGCCCGACCTCCCCTCGCCTTTTTCAGCCGCGGCCCCGCCACCGCCTCGTCTTCTCTGTCCGCTTCTGTCGCCACCACCGACGGTGATCCCATGCCCGACTCCTCGGGCGAGGGCAGCGGCATTGGATCGCCACGCCGCCCCTCCCCGGGAAGTGGGGCCAGCCACTGTGTGCTCTAAGTGGCTGAAAACTTGATCAATTGTTTTTTGAGCCCCTACGCCCTCGGGACGCGCACCGCGCTACTGCGCCCGGGCCAGGGGTGTAAGGGAACACACTAGGGCACACCAGGGCCGGTCTAGCCGGCCTTATCCCGCCCACAGCCTTCGAAAACGCACAAAAATCGCACCGCCGGAGCCGCGGCGAATCGCCGCCGGAGGCCGCGTGTCGCGCCACTGACGGCCGCACATCGCACCCCCGGCTCCGCGCCGCTGCTCCACCGCGCCGGCCATCCAGCGCGCACCCCCCGAGCTGACGGACCCCTCTTAAAAAGCCACAAAGCCTCGAAAGTAGCCGTCGACCGTCACCTGACAGAAGGATGTCGGCCGCGGGCTCGCCGCTCTTGCGAGCGGTCGGCGGCGTCTAGGGCGGAGCCAGCGGTAGTAGCGGTGGTGCCGGCGTGTGCCGTGACGGAGGGGGTGGCGGCGGGGCGCGGACGGCGGGGTGCGGCGGCCGAGGCTCGAGCGGGGGGGCGGCAGCGGTGGCACCATCGTCGGCGGAAGTTCGACCTGGCGGGTGAGAGGTGGGAGGCGCCGAGGGCGGAACCGCTGCGGACGCGGCGAGGTTGGAGGCGCAGAGGCCGAGGCGGCACGGGCGGCGGCGCCGACGGCACTGCAGCGCCGGTGCAGCGCCGGGGAGGGCGGCTGAGGTGGCGCGGACGGCGGTGGCGAGAAGGCGGGCGGAAGCTTAGACGGGTGGTGGTGGAGGAGGCGGCGGCAAAATCACGGGCGAAGCGCCGAGGGGGGCGGCGGAGGCGGTGCACCAGCGGTGGGGAGGGTAGCTACGGCGGCGGGGTAGCGGCCAGCATCGCCAGGGGGGGCGGGAGGTGCCGCGGGTGCCGCACGGGCGGCGGCGGCCGTGCCGGTGATGGCGCCTGGGAAAGGGAAGGCGCGGGTCTGAGAGGCGGACGCGCGGGCGGGAGAGGTGAGTGAGACCACGCACGCGGCTGCGGTCGCGTCGCGCCGTGCGGGAGGGGCGCCGGCGCAACCACGGCGGCAGCCGAGGCGGCTCATCGCGCCGTACAGAGGCTCGGGGGAGGCGCGCGGTGCGGCGGCGCACCGGTGGATCGCCGCGACAAAGTGTAGCCGAGGCGGGGCGGGAAGCGCCCGAGCCGGCCGTTGGGGCGGCGCCGACGCCGCCCAGGATGCCGTGGGCCGATGGTGCGGAGGAGCGGCCGCTCCCCCTCTCGGGGCGGCCGCAAAACCTGTGCAGCAGCAGCACGCCGAGAACGCGCCTGCGGGGGTGAGTCGCAAAATGTGAGATTGCGGGCCCCGCCGCGGTCACTTTCTCCCTCCAAAGTGCATGTGCCTTGGGAAGGGGGTGCAAGCACACCTCCGCTACTCGGAACATAGGGTCGTGCGACTCGATCGCGAGCGAGCGCGGGTGGAAGGCGGCGTGCGCAAAGCGACGGCTCGCGCGCGACCGCGGGCTTGCGCGTCGGCCGTGCGCGGGCAGAGGGTGCTGAGGGGCGAGCGGTGGCGGTCGCTCGCCCGGGCAGCCCGCGCGCGGGCGGCGCGCCGCAGCGGGGAGCGCCCAGGGGCGCGGCGCGTGCTGGCTGCGAGCGGGCGCTTGACATCGTTTTTGAGGAGAGATAGCCCAAAAATGATCCGCGACTTAGAGCACACAGTGTCACTTCGATCGAGGACTCGCGCCCGCCCCCGCGGTCCCTCTATCGTCCTCGGCTCGTCCGCACGTCCCAACTCTACTCGCAAAGGCCGCGCCAGCTCATCTCTCACCCTCTCCGACAGCTGACCCCAAGCCCCCCCCGGGACCCTCCGGCCTCGGTCCCCCGGCCCGCCGGCGGGACCGTTATCGCATTGCGGCAACTCCCCTCCCCCAGCACCTCCTTCCGGGTACTCCAGCCTCCGGCGGGGCGGTTCCGGATCCCCCAGGTTATTCCGAGCGGGTCCGTACGGCGGCGGCCCCGCCGGCGGCGGGGGTAGAGGCGGTGGCAGGGGCGGCGGGTACGGTGGCGGCCCTCGCGGCCAAAACGCCTGGTGTGGAGCCACTGGGGTGGCCCCACTACCCTGCCGCCGTTCCAGCGGTGGGGGCGGAAGTGGCAGTGTGGGTGGCGGAAACGATGGCGGCACTGGCGGCCCCGCCCGGTGTGAAACCTCAGGGGCGGCCCCTCGACCCAGCGGTCGCTCCAGCTGCGGGGGCGGAGGCGGTGGTGGTGGGGGCGGGCCTGGTGGCGGTGCCGGCAGCCGCAACGCCTGGAGCGGGGCCTCGGGGGCGGCCCCCTGCCCCTGTGGCCGTTCCAGCCGTGGTTCCACGCGTCGGCCGTCCACCCCGCTCGTGGGGGGGGGGCTAGCTCTCGCCCCCCCTCGAGAAGAGGGGGGGCCAGGGCCCGGATTCGCCGACGGCTCCGCCTCTCCCTCCCCCGCTCCGCCCCAGGTCGTAGACTGCGCAGTAGCTGCGCCGCCTCCCCCCTCGACCGGTCCTTCTCGATTCGGTCCCGCACCGACCGGATATCAAATGCTGAATTGCGTTCAGACAGCGGGCCCGCCGATGCCACACGCCTCTTCACACAGCAGGCGTACGCCTTCATCGCCTGCCCCCCCGACTGTGTCGGCCCCGGTGAGATGTCGTTGACGAGGTAGAAAAGAAAGAAAGAAAGAAAGAAAACAGACAACCCAAGGGAGGGATGGGAGGACGGCACGCCCCACCACACAGGAAAGAAAGAAAGAAAACAGACAACCCAAGGGAGGGATGGGAGAACGGCACGCCGCCACCACACAGGGATTTTAAACCACACAGGATTTTAAACCACAGGGACCTCCCCCTGCCCCGGCGGAAAATTCTACCACCCAAGACAGCTTGGAGAGCTCCCGGTAACGCTACATTTCGTAACGATCGTCGCTATTGGCCATCTGCCTCTTACAGCCTCTGTTGGGGTGGAATGCGCGGGGTTTTCGGCGCGATGCCTCCGGCTAGTACACGGTACTGCTCTGCCGCAAACTCTCCTGCGCTCGCGTGACGTGTGGGGCGCGTGCACTGCGCTCGAAAGTCGCGATTTGGCAATAGGCGCTCGAGCCGGCGCGCAGTGGAGGGGGGCGCCGCGCAGGGGGATCGGGGGGGTGCGAGAAGGGGCGTGGGTCGGGCGCGCACCGGCCGGCTCCGGGAGCGGCCGTCACGTCGAAGAGGGGACCTGGTGCTGCTCGAATGACGACGCATGCCGCTCTGCTGCGCCGCCGATAGCCCCTCTTCCGAGCCGGCGCGTGGCGGCGAGCCGCGGCTTTTCCTGGCTCTGTCGCTCTCAGCGCGACAGCATGTACGGAGGAGGTGAGCCCTCGCCGCCGCCGCCGCGTCGCTGACCGCCACTCCCCACGCGTCGTCATCGCCCGCCCTCGCCCGCAGACGAGGTGAGCGCCGTCGTGCTCGACATCGGCACGTCGACGACCAAGTGCGGCTTCGCCGGCGAGGACAGCCCCAAGTTTGTGGTGCCGTCGAGTGTGGGCGTGGTGGGCGGGGAGGAGGGCGCCTCCTCGGACGGCGCGACGCGGCTGGTCGGCACGAGCGCCCTCGGCGTGCGGCGCGACGGGATGCGGGTCGAGTCGGCGCTAACTGACGGGATCGTCACCAACTGGGACGCGGCCGAGGCGCTCATCTCGCACGCGTACAAGAGCTGCCTGTGCACGTCCGCGGCGGAGCATCCGGTCCTGATGGCCGAGCCCTCCTTCAACACGCCCGCCGCGCGCGAGAAGATGGCGGAGCTGCTGTTTGAGCAGTTCAGCGCGCCGGCGCTGTTCCTCTCGAAGGCGACAAACGCCTCCTCGCCGCCGCCTCTCTCCCTCGCTCTCCCCTCACCGCTGCCCCCCCCTCTCTCGCCGCTGCTTCTCCCGTCGGCTCGCGCCTCTCTCTTCGCCGCTGCCCTCTCTCCTCGCTGCTCCTCCCCTCTCCTCTGCTCCACCCGCCCCGCCGCCTCGCCTCGCCTCGCCGCCTCCTCTCACCGCCGCCTCCCTCCCCCCCGACGCAAAAGGCGGCGGTGCTCTCCGCCTTCGCCGCCGGGCGGGGGACGGCCCTCGTCCTCGACGTGGGTGGCGGCCAGGCAACCGCCGCCACCATCATCATCATCGCCGGCGTCCTGTTCATCCTCACCATCATTCTCTTGAGACAGGCGTCCGCCGTCGCAGTCCACGATGGGTACGTGCTCAACAAGCCGCTGCGCCGCTCGCCCCTCGGAGGGGACCGGATCGCAGAGCTCATGCGCTCTCTCCCTAGATGCTCTGCACCTCTCTCTGCAACTCGCCCATGGGTCGTCGTCGACAGCCCGAGAGCCCGAGAGGCCGCCGCACGCACACACAGACACGTGCCAACGCTGGCCACGCTGGCCACGCAGACCAAAACACGTGGCCACCAGGCTAGCAGCCTCCCCTCGCGATCCGTTCGTGACCGCCCCTCCTCTCCTCCGCAGGCTCACCTCGCTGCAGAGCCGCGAGTCGCCTCCGCAGCTGCGGCCGCTCTACACGCTGAAGTCGCCGGGCGGCGCCGACTTCCCCGGCACGGAGTCCCTGCCCTGCCCTCCCCTGCCCTGCCCCGGCCCGCTCCTCGACCTGCCTCGCACCCCTACCCCGCCGCAGGCACGCACCCGTCCTACCTCCGCCACGCGCAGCTCTCCCTGCTGCGCGAGGCCAAGGAGTGCGTCTGCCGCCTCCCGCCCGCCCCTCCAGCAGAGGGGGCACCGCTCGAGGCGAGACGCGCCGAGATGCGCCGAGATGCGCCGAGATGCGCCGAGATGTGCGCGCTCGCGGCGCATGGCCCGCGAGGAGCGAGCCTCCTCCTCAAGGAGCGAGCCTGCCCCGCGGGAGAGACGACACCGCTCGACTGGCGAGCCAGGCGTCCGCGTGGGAGTACGAGCTGCCGGACCGGTCGACGGTCGACCTCGCCTGGGAGAGGCGCCGCCGCCTCGCCACCCTCCCTAGACCTCTCCTCGACCTCGCCTGGACCTCGCCTGGACCTCTCCTAGACCGCCTCGCACCCTCTCCTACCCCCTCTGCCCACCACACGCACACGACACAGTCCACCCCCTCTCTACCCCGCCCGCCAGGCTCCACCTGCCCGAGCTCCTCTTCACGCCTGGCCTGCTCCGCACCGCGTACGGTGCGGCCGCCCTCCCGACGCCGCAGCCGCGGGGGGCGTGAGTCTTCACGCCTGCGGCCGTGAACAGGCGCGCCCCCCGCCACGGCGCAGCGCGACGCGCTCGCCTCCGCCGTGCCGGACGGGCAGCTTGGGCTGCCCGAGATGGTCGCCGACTGCATCCGCGCGTGCGACACCGACATGCGCCGCGAGCTGTGGGGCGGGATCGTCGTGAGCGGCGGCGGCTCGCTGCTCCCTGGCCTCACCGACCGGCTGCAGGCGCGGCTCGGCGAGATCGTGCCGCAGACCTCGATGAAGGTCAAGATGATCGCCGCGACAGCGCCCGCCGAGCGCCGCTTCGCCGTCTGGATCGGCGGATCGATCCTGGTGTCGCTCGGCTCTTTCCAGCAGGCGCGGGGCCGCACCGCCACCGAAACCCGCCACTGCCCCCCCCCCCCAACCCCCACCCCGCCCCGCGTCGCCCAGACCCTCCCTCCCCTCCGCCGCAGCTCTGGCTCTCGAAGCAAGAGTACGACGAGCAGGGCGCGAGTGCCATTCACCGCAAGTGCCCTTGAGCACGGCCACCCGCCGCGCCTTTCCCTGGGTTTGGGGCTTGCTGCTTGTACTCGAGCACAGCAATCGGCTGGGCCTGCGGTCGCGCAGGTGGTCCGGGCGGCCGCGGTCGAAACCGGTCCGCGGTTGCGGATCTCGCATGCACCATGCATCAGGCTACATATTGTCTGCCGTTTTTGGAGAGCCCAGAGCAGTCGGTTGTGGCTTTTCCTTTTGCGTTTGGATCCGTCTCACACGCGCACTCGAGAGAGAGAGATTTTTAGCAATACCAAACAACTCTAACACTCCACACGTCATTTGGGGCCGCTCTGTGGACGCTGTGGAGCCCTGTTGTGTTCCCACGCGCGCGCAAGACGTGCAGACAGGGTTGCCAGGTGAGAGCGAATGGCGCGGTTCACGCCTCGCACAACAGAGAGAGAGATGCGCTCTGCATGGTGGGACATAAAAGAAAGCGAGTACTTGGGCGAGTAGGCCGTGCGGTCGACGCTGCCGCGCGCGACTTTGCGCGCGAGGCGGCGCAGCTTGAGAACGGCGGTGGGCGAGAAGCCGCCGCCGAACGTCTCGTGGAGCAGCAGGTTGAAGTTGTTGCGCTTGACAAAGATCGCGTCGTGGTAGAAACCGCGATGCGCCTTGACGTAGCCGTGGCCGTTCTTGTGGGAGAAGGTAGAGAGAAGGGTGGGCCGGGCTGCCCGCGCGCCTTGCAGCCCATGTTTAGGCGGCGGGCCTTCTCCTCGGTGTTGCCGAAGGCGTAGGAGTGGCCAACGGAGGCGGGCGTGCCGCCGCTCGAGGCGTTGCCAACGCCCGCCGAGGAGGTCTTGAGGAGGGGCGTCCAGAGCTTGACTTCATTCACCTCATCGCATCCTCCCGGGCCAGCGTGGGTTCCGCGAGGTCGACCTTGTACCCCTCGTTGTACTGCCGGGTGAGCTCTGGTTTCTCCTTGTCACCGTGCACGACCGGCGCGTTGGCCGGGGCGCGCATCGCGTCTGCCCAGGCAGGCGGCGAGGACGCCGTCGTGGGGCCGCCGGTGGTGGGCCTTGTTGTAAAGGTAGTCGCCGAAGAAATCGACTGGCATGCCCCGCTCGAGCGCGACCCGAAGGGTGGGAAGCGCCACGGAGAGCCAAAGGCCGAGCTTCCGCTGGAGCTCGTCCTGGAGGGCGGTGTCGGAGGAGAGGGCGGTGGCGTACGTGCCGTCGACACGGACATCGAGGGCCTTGCCGGCGAAAGGCGTTGAGGCGGAGACGAAGCGCGCGGCTTCGCGGTTGTTGACGGCGCTGTCTCCGAGGGACGGGTTGTTCTTGACGTGCGCGTCCCGCGCCTTGACGAGCTCCTGGTGCGCGTACCAGTCCTTGTTGCACTCAATGATCAAAAGCACAAAGAGAGCGTACTCTCTGGTCATACTGGGAGATAGTCGACTCGCATCGGTTGCCTCCATGAACGGCGGAGCTATTCTCGCACACTCACAGCTCTAAAAAAGAATTTCACTCAAAAAAGAAATTCGAAACTTGTGAATAAGCAGGGCTGACGCCCGGCACCAGCCTCACGCACTGGCTTCACGCACCCGTTTCACGCTACCTCCAGCCTGCGGTGCTGCTCTCATCCGCTCTGCTGGCTGCACGCCTCGAGCAGAATGGTTGACCGTCGCTGGCCCTTTGTGATCTGCTCACTTCAGGCTGCGATCGCGCTGCTCATGGTCACTCAGTACTGCTCATGGTTCGCCATCAGAGACCAGTCGCTAGGCACGGTGAGGGCAGCCGACGGAGCATGGAGGCACCAAGCCTCCAACGGCGCGTCGCGACGAGCCGACTGGCCGACGAGCGTCTCCATCCTTCGCGTGCAAGTTCCAACAGCGCCCATCTCCAACCTGTCAACGCACTCCGTCTCGTGCCCCATCTTCAGCGGTCCGGGCTACGACGCCAAGAGGCACAAGTCACACGACGTCAGTCTGCCCGCCTTTGAGGCGCCGTTCGAGTCGACGCCGCGCCCGCCTTTGCTGGCGGTAGACGCGATCCCGCTTTCGGACGTGCGCCTGCTCGCTGGCAGCGCCTTCCACGCCGCCTTCGAGACGAACCTCGCATACCTCAAGCTGCTCTCGACCGACTCTCTGCTGCTCGCGTGGCGGCTGACCGCGCAGGGAGGCAAGTGGTCGCCCGGCTCGCTCCGCCTGATGGGGTGGGGAGCACACCGGCTCCGAGCGGCGCTGATGAGAGATGCTCATCAACAAGGCCACTGATTGACGAACAGGTGGGAGCACACCGGCTCCGAGCTGCGCGGCCACTTCCTTGGGCACTGGCTCTCGGCCTCGGCGATGGCCTTCGCCGCCACTCGCGACGCCGAGCTGCGCCACCGGATGACTGAGGTGGCGGAGATTCTGGGCTGCTCCTCCACAGCCGCGCGCTGTGAAGCAAGTGCCGCCCGCCACATAGGTCGTTGAGGAGCTGGGCAAGCTCGCCGCCGCCCACGGCAGCGGCTACCTCTCCGCCTTCCCGCCCTCATTCCTCGACCGACTCGAGGCGATCACGCCCGTCTGGGCGCCCTACTACACTCTCCACAAGTTGCTCGCAGGGCTGCTGCAGCAGTACTCCCTCGCTGGCAGCCACAAGGCGCTCGAGATCGCCGAGGCGCTCGGCGAATACATTGGCAAGCGGGTGCGCCGACTCGCGGCAGAGAAGGGACTGGCGCACCAGTTCAAGACGCTCAACCAAGAGTGCGGCGGCATCAACGAGGCTCTCTCAGATGTCGCAACCGGCATGGCTGCGCGAGGGCGTCGTTTACCTCTGAGCCCCCCCCCTCAGGCGCTGTGGCACCTCGCCTCCCTCACCGGCAAGGCGGAGCACCGCGCCACCGCCTCCCTCTTCGACAAGCCGTGCCTGCTCGGACCTCTCGCCGCCGGACAGGACGCGCTCACAGGCATGCACGGTGAGTCACGATTGCACGGACTTTCTCACTCACAATTGCACGGAGTGTCACTTTGCGAGTTGCCTGTGAATTCACAGGCAACACGGCCCTCGCTCTGATGCTCGGCGCTCAGCGGCGGTTTGAGGTGACTGGCGAGGCGCACTTCACCGCCCTCACGCAGCGCTTCGTCGATTTGGTCGTGAGCAAGCGCTCGTACGCCACGGGAGGCTCCACGCACAACGAGCTGTGGGAGGCTCCCGGCCAGCTCGGCCACACGCTGGCGCACGGCGGGGCGCGGCACGAGCACGCCGAGAGCTGCACCACGCACAACATGGTCCGGCTGGTCGGCATGCTGCTGAGGGCGAGCGGCGGCGCACTCGCGTACGCCGACTTCATCGAGCGCGCCTTGCTCAACGGCGTCCTCGGCACGCAGCGCGGCAGCGAGCCGGGAGCGATGCTCTACTTCATGCCGCTCGGCACCGGCGTCTCAAAGCGCAAGCCGCAGAGCTGGAGGCACTCTGGCTGGTCGACACCCTTCGGCGACTTTTGGTGCTGCCAGGGCACCGGCATCGAGGCCTTCGCGCGGCTGGCGGAGCACATCTTCGTCGAGGGGCGCGGGGCGGCGCCGCCTGAGCTCTTTGTCCTGCAGCTCATCGCCGCGCGCTTGCGGTGGCGCCGCGCCGGGCTCGTTCTCGTTCTCGAGTCTAGGACCTTGCAGGAGCCATCCCGGAACTTGCATGGACCCTTTCCAATAGGCTCGTGCTCGTTCTCGAGGCCGACCCGCCAGGCGAGCGCCGCCGCCGCCCCCAGCTGACCCACCCTCCCTCTAGTGAACACCTCCGGTTCCACCCTTCCCTCGCCGGCGCCGCCCTCCAGGCGCCCTCCACCCCGCCGCCACGCCCGGCCTCAAGCTGCGGGTGGAGAGGGCGGCGGCCGAAGGCGTGCACGCCGCCATCGCCTTCCGAGTGCCGTCGTGGGCAACCTCTCCCTCCGCGACGCTGCGCCAGGCGGCGGCGGAGCCGCCGAACTTCGGGGGCGCAGGCGGCGGCGGAGGCGGCGGAGGCGGCGAGGGTGCGTCCGGCGGCGGCGGCGGGAGTGCGCTCAGCCCCGTGGAGAGTGGCAGCCTGATGCGCGTGGAGCGAACTTGGCGCGAGGGTGACGAGGTCTCTCTCTCGCTGCCCGCCTCGCTGCGCACCTCTCGGCTGCCCGACGAGCGACCAAAGTACCGCCGCCTCTTTGCGCTCCTCCACGGCCCTGTGGTGCTCGCCTGCGTCGGCTGCCTCCGCCCGCTGCTACCGGGAGGCACCGAGGCGGAGCTGCTGGAGATGCTCGAGCCGGTGCCTGCGGCCGCCTCGGCGCAGCTGCGCACGCTGCGGCGAATCGAGGAGCGGGGCGCACCGCCGGGCACGCTGCTGCTGCACGCGGATCGGCTGTGGCTGCGCGAGGGCAGGCTTCCCGCGCTGCCGCTCTCGCGGCGGCGTGGCGGCAGCGACCTCGCGGGCGTGGTCACCTTGCGCGAGGTTGCAGGCTTGGGCGGTGGGGACAACCTCGTCTCCTTCTCTCCCTTTGGCAGGCCGGGCTGCTGGCTGGCGGCGCCGCAGGGCGGATCGGGCGGGCAGGTGGAGCTGCTCTGCCTCCACCGCGGCGTGCAGCCTTCTCCGGAGCAGGCGAGGCGCGCTTCGTGGAGGCGGCACGACCCGCTGCTCGCCGCGGCGCACGGCTCGCCGCACTTGCGAGGATGCGCGACACGTGCTGGAGCAGTAGCTGCGAGCGGGAGAGCGACTGCTGTATAGGCGGCTTCCAGAGCTACGAGTCGCTCCACGCGCCGGGCTGTTTCCTCTCGACCGCCGCCGGCGCAGAGGCGGGCGCGAGCAGCGCCACGGGCTACGAAGTGGGCGACGAGCTGGCGACGCGCCTCACGCCGGTGACGCTACAGCGCAAGCCGTCCGGCGAGAAGGAGGTGCCGGCTGTGAAGCGGTTCGCCGCGCTGAGCTCGTTTGAGGAGGCGGTGGGAGCGGCGAGCTACCCGGCGGCCGCCTGGTTCTTGCGCCCTTCCCCGGGCCGGCCGGAACTCGCCTCGGCCGTGGTGTGGCCGCTCTCTGAGGTCATCGACGAGACGTACTCGGTGTATTTTGATCTCCAGTAGCTCGCGTGGCTTTTTTTATCTCACGACGCCGGCTTTCACGGCTCGCCCCGGCGCCCGCCCTCTCGTTTTAGCATTTATGTATGTAAAAGAGGGAACCACGAGCGCAGGCGGCAGCGGCCAGCGCCGACTACGCGAGGCGACGGTCGCAAAGTGGGTTCACCTGCCGAAAAAAGTGGGGGCGACGAGCCGAAAAAGAATTATGCTTAAGTATATGTAGGAAGGTGAAGATGTTCAACAGCATGCTGACCGAGGTGGGGAGAGACCTGAGAGCGATGGCGAACGACGCAACGTACCGGGCGGGCACGCAAATTGACAACTGGATAGTCACCCCGGCGCTAGCGAATGTGATGGGGCGCGTACACATCATGCCAGGAGTATGCGGGAAAGACCATGAGATAGTGGCGGTTGAATACTACGGGGCGGACGACCCAGAGGGAGAGCGAGAATACCGACCGAAAGGAGTCAGCCGGAAGCTGGACCGAGACGCCGAGGAGGCGTTCACGAAGACCGTGCAGGAAGCCTACGACGGCGCGATGCAACCGCGCCGAGGCGAGACACCGGCAGAGAGGCTGAAGGCGATGACACAGGCGCTCACGGACCACGCCAAGGCCGTGATAAAAGAGGCGCAGGACAAGTTGCGTCTAGAGAAGGAAGGGGATAAGGGCGGACAGACCGGCGAGGCGGACGAGGAGGGGGAGGACCAAGGGGGGGGCGGGCAGCGGGACACCCAACGACGGGGACGACCCCCCATCACTTCATGCGGAAGCTCGACAAACACACAGCGAGGGCGACAGCAAGAGTTGAACGGGAGGCGCCGGACTCAAAAGACACCGCCACATTCCTGAGACGAGCGAGGGCAGCCTCCTTAAAGGCGAAAGGGTCTAGATTTGGGGCGCTCGCCGAAGAGGAGTACGACAAAATAGCACCCGTGATTGCCTGCACGCTACCCGCACTCACGGACTCCATACCCGAAAGAAAGAGAAGGGAGCTCGCGGGAGAGGTGACGAGTGAACTACAGGTAGTGGGGAAGGCAGCCTCGATTGCCATACAGACATGGGTGCGAAACAATGACAAGACCAAGGCACGGGCAGAGGAACGAGAGAAGAATATAGGGTGGATAAAGCGCCTGTTCACGGCATGGAGGGTGAGCCACACCGAACGTACCGAGCGAAGGGCCGAGCGGAAGGAGGACGGGGAAGATGACTCAGAGGAGAACGAACCAGTGGAAATTCAGTTGTCAGATGTCACGATGCACCCGAAGGGGACCCCAGCGCCGGCATCATCCGTAGAGGCACGAGTGTTCGAAGAGAGAGTGGACCTGAGCAACAACATGACGTGTAGGCAAATGATCGGAGTGGGAGTCAGAAATGTGGTCCTTGCGCGAGGGGAGCTTGATAGACTCGAGGGGCCAGGATACGCCGCGAGGAGGACGGAGTTGCGCAAGGCGAAAGAAGCCGCGAGAACAAGGGACCGGCAGGCGGCGGCGTCGCAGGACGAGGCAGAAGAGAACGACGCGACAGAGGAGGAAGTGACAAGGGAGAGACCGACGAGAGTGGGACGGCCGCGAGGTGGCATGAAGGTTGCAGCGAGAAGCGGCGAGAGACTGCGAAAAGAGATACGAAGAGGCAGACTCCCCAGGGTGGGCGACGGCTAGCGCACCACACTCCTCTCCTTAAAATCCCTGTGTGGTGGCGGCGTGCCGTTCTCCCATCCCTCCCTTGGGTTGTGTGTTTTCTTTCTTTCTTTCTTTGAAGAACAGTCTGACTGTCGTTGCTGTCTCTCCCCCTTCTCGACTGTCTGTGTGCTTGTGCGTCTTGGGTCCGGAGTTGTGCGTTTATGTGAAGAACAGTGAGAAGGACACGGTGAACGAAGAAAAAGAATTCGTGCTACGGCCCACCATCCCGCCCGCGCACCGCGTTGCCAATGACGTTCCCCGAAGAGTGGGGCGCCGGCGGCGGCGACGGCGGCCCGACCGAGTCGAAGCTCGTCCCGCTCTCGATGCAGAGCAACGAGGCGCTCCTCATCAAGACGCTGCTGGCGCGGAGCTGCCCGAGCGCAAGGCTGAGCCGCGTGCAGCGCGTGCAGAACAAGAAGCTGTGGCGCGCGTACTCCAACCACCGCGACGAGGAGCTCGTCCACAGTTGCGACGGCGGCGACGTCAACGAGATGCTCCTCTTCCACGGCACGGCGGAGCGGGCGGCGGAGGATGTGCTCGCACATCAGAACGGGCTCGACCCGCGCTTCTCGAACGGCGGCTTTTACGGCCAGGGCATCTACCTGGCGGAGGACCCGTCGTACCCGATCGGCGGCCGGTACGCGCACCGCATCTCCGGCTCGGGCGGCAGCCGCGTGCAGCTGCTCATCGTGAAGGCCGCCCTCGGCTCGCAGCAGGAGATGGGGCAGCGCATCAGCGCGGAGTCGAGGGCGATGCGCATGCCGGACGTGCGCGTCGAGGGCCCTCCCCGACTCCTCTACGACAGCGTGCGCGGCGGGCCGCACCGCCCCTTCGTCTCCGGCGGAGGCGAGAACGGGTGCAACGCGTCCATCGTCCACGTCGTGTACGAGTCGCGCCAGATGTACCCCGCGTACGTGATCGAGGTCGAGATGGAGATGGGGGCCGAGGTGGTGGCGGCCGTGCGCAAGAACTCGGCGGAGGGGAGTGCGAGCGCTGGCCCGGCACCCAAGCGGCAGCGCCACGCTGCGACGAGCGGCAGCGGCGGCGGCGGCGGCGGCGGCGGCGGCGGCGGCGGCGGCGGCGGCGGCGGCGGCGGCGGCTCCAGCCATTCTGCTGCTCATGTCCCCGCCGCTGCGCCACCGAGCGCTGCGGAGGTGCGGGCGATGGGCGTGGCGGCGGCGGTGGCGGCGCTGCGGGCGCACGGGTCGGTCAGTCGCGTCGCGCTTGCGGCCTGCGGGCGGTTGGCTGATATGTGCACAGAGGCGCATAACAGGCAAGCTGCGGTGGACACGGGCGCGATCGAGGCAATCGTGGCGGCGCTGCAGGCTCACCCGCAGGTGGCGGGCGTGCAGCAGAATGGCTGCCGGGCGACGGCCCTCGTGTGCGCCGGCACCGACGCTGCAGGAATCGCACGTATGCAGCGCGCAGCAGCAGTGGGCGCGATCGAGTTGGTCGTGGCGGCGCTGCAAGCTCACCCGCAGGTGGCAGGTGTACAGCAGTATGGCTGTTTTGCGCTGGGCAACGTGTGCTTCGGCAGCGACGCCGCAGCGAGTGCAGCAGACGCGGGCGCGATCGAGGCGATCGTAGCGGCGATGCAGGCCCACCCGCAGGCGGTGCGCGTGCAGCAGTTGGGCTGCATGGCGCTGGGCAACGTGTGCTTCGGCAGCGACGCCGCAGCGCGGGCGCGGAGGCAGCGAGCTGTGACTGCGGGCGCGACCGAGGCGATCGTGGCGGCGATGCAGGCCCACCGGCAGGAGACGGGCGTGCAAAAGAATGGCTGCATGGCGATGGCCAACGTGTGCTCCGACACCGACGCCGCAGGGTTCGCACGCATCCAGCGCGCAGCGGACGCGGGCGGCATCGAGGTGGCTGTGGCGGCGCTGCAGGCTCACCCGCAGGTGGCGGATGTGCAGCAGTATGGCTGTTTGGCGCTGGTCAACGTGTGCTTCGGCAGCGACGCCGCAGCGTTCGCACGCAAGCAGCGCGCAGCAGACGCGGGCGGCATCGAGTTGGTCGTGGCGGCGATGCTGGCGCACCCGCAGGTGGCGGGCGTGCAGGAGAATGGGTGCTGGGCGCTGTTCAACGTGTGCTCTGGCACCGACGCCGCAGCGCGGGCGCGGAGGCAGCGAGCTGTGACTGCGGGCGCGACCGAGGCGGCGGCAGGGGCTATGCGGGCGCACCCGGGCGACGCAGCTGCCCAGAGGCAAGGGCAGAATTTGCGCGATCTTCTTGCCTGAAGGGATCCGGGCCGCGCGCGGACCAAAAGAGCGGCACGACATGAACAAGACGAAGAACGCAGTAGTCTCCGCGCGTTTTGTGGGTCGTACATCTAGTCGTACATATAACATTATGACACACACAAAAATGAGCTTCGGCACGAGCTGTGTGTGCTGCGAGATATAGCCTCGCGACAACGGGCCATCAGTCCATCTCAGACTCAGTGCGAATGTATCACCGGACCGAGCCCAAGCTTCGCCACCCCTACCACAAAAGACTGCGCTGGCAGCGTGAGGGAGAGCGTGCCAGCGGCCACCCGTGTCGTTGAGCCGATCGCCGTCACGGCATTGGGCTTCGCGGGGCTGTTGAAGGCGGTGAGGTTGGGCGAGCTCAGCGAGCGGAGACGAACCGGTGACGCCTCCTCAAACTCTCCGTCACTCACCTCCACGCGGATCGCCAGCCGCTTATCTGAGGGGTTGACGAGGGCGAGGACAAGCGATGCCGCGTCGGCGGTGCGTAGTGCGACGGACGCGATAGGCGACACGCCGCGAAGCCAGGTTGCGTCAAGCAGCTGTAGGCTCGGCGCCCCGACCTCTGCCAACATTTGGTGGACGTGGCCAGGCGGCTGCAGAAACGTCATGTTGGGCAGGAAGAAGGCGAGGCCCTGGTCCCCGCATTTGCATTTTGGTTTTGGGTTGTCGGAGATCATCCATCACGCATCAGCTCTCATGTCTCATCACAGTCAGTCACGTCAGTCAAAGCAGTCGTGGCACGTGGAGCAGTCGCTGATGGCAACGGCGCCGCCACACGCTCCGGACGACCCCGACACACCGACACACCACGCACAATGGGAGGCTATCGCGCACGATCGGGCATCGCGCCGCAAACAACTCGCCGCACAGATGGGGGGGAGGCAGAATCCCACACACACCGGAGCAGCACAGACACCTTACACGTCAGCGCTCGCTCGATGTGGCCGGCGCTCTCCCCTCGGTCCTATCTCGCCTTTTCAACGGCGGCGTGCGGCCACGCGCCGCGCCGAGCCGGTCTCGGCGGGAGACCTCGGAGCCGCACGCGATGCGGGCATGCGCGATGGCTCCGTTGGCTCCGTGCCTAAGGCAGATCGATTAGGGTGTGAGCTGGGCAGCCACCGTTTCTGTACCCGCTCGATCACGTGCAGGCCGTCGGAGGCCGCGCTGGATGGCCCAGGGCCGGCGGCGGTGAAGGCGTCCGTCGATGAAGGGATGTCGTCGAGGGAGCCATCGTCCTCCGCGGCTGGTGCACCGGTCCAGTTGTCGGAGTCCGAGATCGCAGTCGACTTGGAGAGTGTGTTCGGCCCGTTGACGAACTCACGGAATGTGAGCGACTTGGTGCACGCTGGGTCGAGCATCATGACTCGCACCTCATCCTGGGCGAGGAACTCGCCCAGGGACCAGCTGTTGGCGTCGCCGGTTTGATCGAGCTGCATCCACTGCATGGTTTCGTAGTCAAGCGTAAACGCCCAGGAGTTGGTGCCTGGGTGACTTGCTGATGAGAGCGCCTTCCAGGCGGGTAGTCGTGCCCCTCACCTACGGTCATACGGCGGCGTCAGAGGGGGGGAAGGGGCGCGAAGCGTGAACATGGAGGCAAGCAGGTGGTGGCTGCACCTGGCCAAAGCCGGCGACCTCGAAGTTGTCGTAGCTTGTGCGGATATCGCTGAGCGTGAGAGGGACCGGATCGGCAGCAGCATGGGCGGCCGCGTCAGCGGCCGGAGAGGCCGGAGAGCCATCCCACGGAGGCCGGTCGTGCATCGGCGCGTCAGCCGCAGGGGGCGGGGGGGCGGCGGCATCCATCGCTGCGGGTCGCTGGGGGCCGACGATTGTGGACTGATCGATCGTGGCGGGCGGATTTCGGCTGGGACGTTCTACGTTAAAAGAGCGTCGGCGCCGACACGAGAGACTTATAAGGGTAGAGGCAGGTGCGGCTGCGCCGCAAGACCTCTCAGCCCGTCAGTATTCTCGGCCTTGGATGGGAGAGAGTTTGTTTTTGGATGTGAGGCTGCCGACTGCACTCCAAGTGCTCCAATATAAAAGCTTATCACGGTACGTGGCTCTTACGAACATACCCTCCCTTTATCACTATTCGCAGTCCCTGTTTGTTACAAGAAATCTTGAATGAGAAGAATTTTACAATACCCCCGTTGTTTGCCGCTGCGCGCTACTCTATATGAGGTGCGAGCCTGGAGACCTTCGGATTCACATCTCACCCACCCTTCGCCGGGGTCGACTGCGAGAGATTTATTTGTTTGTCGACTCTGTAGACAGAGAGTGGCGCCTGGCGAGGTACTCCCACGCCTCTCGGGGTTTTATTAGTCTGGCCGAGTCAACCCGAGGGCGAGCCTCGGCGAGACTGCGTCATCAGCTGTTCCCACGGCAGGCTGGAAGTACCTCGCCAGAGTGGCGCCGCCTCCTTTCAGCCTAGTCACTTGCAGCTATTTTGCTCTGCCTTGAAATTGCCCGGCGCGCAACTTCAGCTCGCGCCACGGTTGTACCCCTGCGCGCCGCGTCGTTCCCAGCCTTTTCGCTTTACGAGGCCGAGCATGGGCACGCTGCCGGTCTACGCCTACTCGCTGACGGACGCACTCAGCGCCATCAACTACCACCCCCCCAACGAGGCTGCAAGGCTCTTCAAGGAGCGCTTTCCCGCCTAGCCCAACCCATCCCCGCGCATTTGGCAGGGCCTCAGTGGATGCGCGGCGCCCACCACTAGCGCCCACCTCGCCAACAGGCCGCTATCGAGGACGCCGCCGCTGAGTTTGTATGCCCGATTACGTTGGAGCTGCCGATTGAGCCGGTGACGGCAGAAGATGGCGCAATATACGAGCGCGACGCCATCGAGAAATATTTTCTAATGCGCACCTCACAGGGCCTCGCACTGCGGTCGCCGCTTACTAACAAGCCGATGGGTCAAGGCTTGCTTCCAGCGATCCAAGTGCGCAATGCCGTCGAGCGCCTGGTGCGCAGCGGGGCGGTGGGGGGGGAGAAGGCGGAGCGGTGGTTAGGTCGTCTCAAGGAGGAGGCGGTCCGGGAGCAGGAGACGCACAAGGCTAAGGCTGGCGATGTGCGCGCAATGCTGACGCTGTTTTCCCATTTCAAGGCGACGGCGAGCTCCATCGGAGTCTGCTAATTGCAGAGTCTCCATGTGTCTTCATCGGCTGTCCCTGTGCCTTCCGGCTCCTACCCGGTATTATGCTGCCGTCCAGGCCGCGCGTCCCTCGTTGCCCAGCGGTATAGGTGTAGGGCCGAGGACGGGGCGCGCCCGCGCATCGCACCTCTCTCATACCGCGGTGATCGGCACGTGTGTGACGATAACAAGACGCAGCTCGTAAAGACGCCTGCCACTGGGCCGCAGCGCGCAGGACTGGGGCCACTGGCACACACTGCATGGAGAAACACCGAGTGCATGCTTGGGTGTAGAGGAGGGGAGACTCGCCCGATAAAATTCTAAGAAGAGTCTACGCGTACGTCTGGACAATACAGAACACTCAGATACACTCAGCATTTTCCTGCGCGGCCCCCCGCATCGCGCGAGCGAACCCCGCGGCGGCGCGGGGCCCGCGCGCAAATCGCCCATCACAGCTCGACGAGCTGCTCGCGAATCGCCTCCTGCACAAGCACGATCAGGTCAAAGTCAGCGCTGCGCACGACGCTCTGCGCCCCCCGCAGCTCCAGCGTGCCGCCGTCCAACTCGACGAGAACGGGCGCCTGGCCAGACGGAGGTGAGTGTGAAGAGACGCTCATCACAGCGTGCCTCCGCCCGCTCGGCGGAATTGGGAGCCTCGTCGCCTCCGCGCGTGCGGACCGCCGGATCGAGCCCGCGTGCGCTGAGCGCCTCTAGCAGCGTGGGGAGGTCGATTCGACCTACAAGCCCGCCGCCGCCGCCGCTGCCGCCGTCGCCTCTGCCGCCGTCGCCGCTGTCGCTGCCGCCGCCGCCCGCCGCTTGGGTGGCGGCGGGCGGGTCGTTGTCTGCGAGCAGCCGCGGCGGCTCCCCCTCGGCCTCGCACAGCAGCAGCGAGGCGCGCGCGGCGCGGACGCCTCCCGCGAGACAGCGCCTGTGCACGGCAGATGTGGCGTGGAGGGGCGCTGCGCACAGCGCACTGCGCCGCGGGAGCGAGGGCCGGGTCTCGCATGCGAGTGGCGTCAGCGAGGGGCCCCGCGATGCGCGCGCTCAGGCAGGGCTGCGACGCCGGCAGGAGGAGCGTCGCGGAGGGGGCGAGCCTCCGCACGGGGGCGGCTCGTACGCGCTCGAGGGAGCGGAGCGGAGCGGGCGGCAGGACGGCGATGCGCGGCGCCATAGCCTCGAGCATCGAGTACGCCTCCACCTCGCCGGTCCGCAAGTCGAGCGGCCGGAGCAGCGGCTGCACGTGGCCGAGCGGCGAGAAGGGGGCGAGCAGCTGCGCGCAGTGCTCCTCCGGGCGCAGCGTCGGCACCGGCAGCGGCGCAGTGAGCAGCAGCAGCGCCCTCCTCCCCCGCGCCTATAGGAAGGTTCCAGGAGAGGTCCAGGACAGGTCCGAGAAGGAGCAGCAGCGCCCTCCTCCCCCGCGCCGGGTGACGCCACTCGCGCAGCAGAGCCGCGGCGGGGCCGGTGCGCAAGGACGGGTCTGGCGCGAGGACGATGGCGGGGTGGGGGAGCGGCGACGGCAGCGCGTCGAGCGAGCCGACGCAGAGGAGCCGCCCTTCCGACTGCAGCGCGTCGAAGGCGAAGGGCAGCTGCGGCTCAAAGGCGCGCTCTGCGCGGCGGCAGTCGACCCACTCGGCGAGGGAGGAGGCGTGGGAGAGGCAATCGGCGCCCACCGGAGAGACGAGGGCGAGGAGTGGCGGGCGGGCCGCGTGAAAGCGCACGGACAGCGCTCCAGCGATCGCCTCGACCAGGCCGAGCGACGAGCCGCCCGCCGGAGACCAAGGGAGGAGGACCGACATGCCGCCCGCAACGGCGCGCACCGCCGCGTCGACGACTGCGCCGACCGACTCCCCGACCGGCGCGGCGCCGGGGTGGCGGACCTCCCTCAGGAGGAGTGCGTCCGACCCCTTCAAGTCGGGAAGCAGCTCGACGCTGCGGCAAGCGCACAGCGCCACGCCGGCGGCGGCGGCGGTTGCGGCGGCGGAGGCGGTGGCGGCGGCGGAAGCGGCGGCAGAGGCGGCGGCAGCGGCAGAGCTAGCAGCGGCCGCGGCGAAGGCGTACGTTCCGTTGGCGGAACAAGAGCCGGCGGCGGGCGGCGGCAGCGGCGGCGGCAGCGGCGGCGGCAGCGGCAATTGCGGCGGTGGCAGTGGCGGCGGCGGCGGCGCGGCGGCGGCGAGAAGTGCGAAGCGGGAGCCGTTAGCATCGAGGCTCCACGCGGCGCCTAGAGTCGTCACGTGCCGCGGATCACGACAGCAGAGCAGCTCCTCCGAGGCTCCTCGCGGCGCCTCCGATGGTGAGGCCAGACGGGCGCGCCATGACGGAGAGCGCGCCGTCCTCCGCCAGCCAGACGCGCTGCCCGTACGAGACGGGGGTGATGCGGGCGGCGCACGCGGCCACCTCCGCCTCCGAGTACCCTGCCATCCCGGACCGCCAAACACCGTGCAGGAAGTCGGCCACGGCGGCGGGCGCAGAGCCGCCGGCGGCGGGCGCGGCCGGCGGCGCGGCGTGTGACGGCGACGATGCGTCGGCGGCTTGCATGCGTGCGAGCTCGAGCATGCGCAGCGTGCCGAGCCGCAGCGCGGCGTACGTCGCGTACACGCGGCCGCGGTAGCCCAGCCTGCGGCGGCGAGGGAGGGAGGCGAGGCGGCCGAGGTGCAGCCGGAGAGGCCGAGGTGCAGCCGGGTCTGGCCGAGATGAGGCCGAGGTGAGGCAGAGATGAGGCCGAGATTAGGCTGCGAGCCTACATGTGCGGCTGGCCCACGATGTGTGTGCGACACAGAGAGGCGCCGAGCTGGCGTGTCCAGGAGGCGGGCGCGGCTCGCCGTTCGGTCAGCAGAGGCAGCGCCAGCATCTCGTCCCCGCTGCTGACGAGGACGGCAAGCACGCCGGACGCCTCGACGGAAGAGAGGCGTGGCAGAGTGAGCCGAGCGCGGTCGGCGAGGTGCCACCAGCCGTTCTGCTCCGAAGCGGGCGGAGGACGCTCTGCGTCGCCGCTGCCAGCGCAGAGCGGCTGGTAGTGGAGCAGCGAGAGCGGCTCGGCACCGTAGTCGATCAGCAGCCGCTCGCCTCCCGGCAGCCGCAGCTCCGTGCAGCGCTCGCCGCGGTGGATTAGGGAGGCGCTGGCCATCGAGAGGAGCGAGCGGCGCGAGTACAAGCCGGCCTGGGAAAAGAATTCGTTGGCTTACGCGGCCCAATGAGACACCCACAGGACCCGAGAACACACCTTCCTTCCCGTGAATCCCTGTGTGGTGGCGGCGTGCCGTCCTCCCATCCCTCCTTTGGCCGCTATGTTTTCTTTCTTTCTTTTACAGGACCCGAGTCCCGAGAGCGGACACTACACATGAAAGCCCGACCAGGCTTCCGGAACGTAGCGGCGGATCCGGCCGCCGTCCTTGGAGTCGAGGTACGCCAGGAGCACTCTCGACCCGAGGAGCGGCTGCGACGGCACAAAGGCCGAGCGCGTGGTGCGCCCGTCCGAGAAGGCGAGGCTGACGTACACGTTGTGGAGCGAGCCCGGCTTGGCGCCGCTGTACACCCAGTGCCGGACCACCTTTGTGACGCCGAGGGCGGCGAGCGCGTCGTCGACGTGCACCTGCTTCTCGGCCTCCAGAGCAGGGCGGAGCTGCTGCGGCCCCTCCTGCCCCTCCCCCCTCCCCTCCCCCCCGCGGGAAGTCTGTGGCAGCGCACCCGCCTGGGTCGAGCAGGGCCGTGCCGACTGCTGCTGCTGCTCCCCGGGCAGCGCACGCGGGGGCGGGGCGTGCTGCAGCTCATCCTCGGGCGAGAGCAGCTGCGTGCTGAAGACCACGCCGGGGATCGCCTCGCGGAGGGGGATGCCGAGAGCATGCGCGGTGGCGGCGGGCGGCGCGAACGCGCTGCTGGCCTGGCTCGGCGCGCCGTCTGTGCTCTCGATGACATCCTCCCTGCCGCTGTCCCAAACCTCCTCCTCGGCGGCGCAGTGGTTGCGCCGGCGGTCGGGGTTGTACTCGCAAAACCACTTTTCGCCCTCGGCGTCGTCTAGAGCGGCGGGCAGACGGCGCCACTTGCCGCACCGGTCACACGCCACCCACGAGCTGGGCGGTGGCTCGGCTGGAAGTGCAGCTCCGCGCAGCGTCACCGTCACCGTCTCGAACCGATCCGCAGCCGCCTCGATCGCCCGGTCAATCTCGTCGTTGGAGAGCTCTTGCGGCGCCGAGCAGGAGCTGTGTCGCGGGTCCTCCTCGTTCTGATCGCACGTCCACGATGAGGGCAGCCTGAAGGGGCCGTGACCGGGCAGCCTCCTCCACTTGCCGCACCTCTCGCACTCGATCCACGCGTCCTCCTCCGACACGCCGAGGATCGTCCGCAGCTCGTCAGAGCTCAGCCCCGCGCGCCCCATCCACCGGAGTAGGTCGGCAAGGCTCACGCGCCGCCGCCACACCCGCCCCTCACGCACGCAAATCCGCCGGTCCGCCTCCTCCTTCCTCGCCTCGCGCACGCCGACCGCGTGGTCGCGCTGGTCGGCGGCGCAGCGCCGCGCGTGGTCGCTAAGCGACGGGTCGTCCACGACGCGCTGCAAGTCTACGACGGAGCGGAGAGGCTCGAGCTCACCGCGCCGCAGCGCCTCGGCGCAGAGCTCGCCAAGCGTCGCGGCGGGCAGGGCGCGCGGCCACCAGCGGCGCTCGACAAAGTGCCAGCGGCCGGTGGCTCGCCGGCTGAAGCAGAGCGTGGCCGGTTGGGCGAGGGACGCGAGCCGCGGAAAGTCAAACGGCACGTTGCCCGCGTAGCTGTCCGGGAGGCTCGGCGCGTGGGTGAGGGGGCGGAGGCTGGGATGCGCATACGCGCGCGGCGCCCGCCACTCCGATGCGATGGAGTGACCGAGCTCGCGGGCCTGTAGCGGCGAGACCATGTTTGCGAGCCCCGCCGCCGCCATCGTGCGGTGCGCGCGCGTCTCGGCGCCGACGGGGTCGCTCTTTCTCCTTCCCGAGCAGCTGGCCACGTCCTGGTAGCCGTCGGGCAGTCCGCTGGCGCGAGCGGCGAGCCAAGGAGACAGCGCGTAGAAGGTATCTTCGTAGAAGAGGGCGACGTTGAGGCCGCGGTTGTAGGCTGGCAGGCCGCCAAAGACTGCGTCGATGCCCCGGTTGCGAGCGGCGTAGCGGAGCTCTCCAACGCCCGTCGTGAAGCTAAAGACTGGGTGCGCAGACGCAGCGGCGCACTCTCTGCGGCGCTTCTTCCCCGCGCCCGTGCAAGCCGCGCCGCGCGCCTCCGTCTCCTCCGCGATCGAGCAGGCCGCGCCGCGCGCCTCCGTCTCGGGATTAGCAGGCTCGTCGCTGACTAGCCGCAGCAGCGCCGCCGCCGGGTGGAAGGCGCCTCGAGTATGCACCGAGAGGATGCGCGAGCGGCGGTGCAAGTCCCCGGCGGCGGCGGTGGGCATGACGACAAAGGCGTGCTCGGTGAATCCGAGCGCCTCGAGCTCGGCCACCCACAGGGAGTAGGAGCTCCGCTCCTGCCCTTCCAGCAGGCTCAGAAAGTTGGGCACGTTCTCGAAGGCGATGACCTCCAAGTTGGGGGCGGAGCCAATGCGGGCAAAGACTCCTCGCAGCGTCTCGTCGGTCAAATCGGGGATGCCGTCCGCGTTCAAGCCCGAGTGCTGCGTGCAAATTGGAGTGACGGTGAGCATGGCCGCCGTAGCTCTGTACCGCTGCTGCTTGCGCGACTCGGGGCCCAGCACGACGCAGTCGGGGAAGCGCTTTCGCAGCACGGCGGTCGCGTGCAGCCCGCTGCTGGTGTCGTCGAGCTCCGACGCCTCGACGAGCCTCAGCCAGAGGCCAGCCTCTTCGAAGCCCGCCTCGAGCCCGTGCTCGAAGCCGCCGATGCCGGTAAACTCGGAGCAGGCCTCGACCGTGGCTCCGGGAAGCAGGCCGCCAAGCCGGTTCTCCTCGTCGACCCTCCGCGCCTGCCTCCTCTGCGGGGCCGGCTCGCTGCTGCCGCAAGCGGGCCCCGTCAGCAGCAGCACCGGCTCCGGCCTCTCTTTCGGCGGCAAGAGGAAGGGAAGCGGTCGCGGCGTTGAGGCCTCCAAACAGACGCGCCTCCGCTTCTCGGCCGCCTCCGCCTCCGCCTCCGCCTCCGCCTCAGCCGCCTTGGCGAGCTTTCGACGCCTGGTCCGGGCCCTCGCCTGCGCCTCCTGCTCCTTGAAGTCGGGCGGCTCGTACTTCTGCGGCTCCCGCACGGCCCGGGACGACGCGGCGCCCGCGCTGGTGTGATCGCCGAGCAGCGCCGCCGGCTCGACATCTCGTCCGGCCGGCACTGGCAATTTCGCTAGGCTAGGTGCGGCAGGCGAGTCGACGACGGCCTGAACGGCCATCGTCGGCACTCGCGCCGGTGCTGCCGGTGCCGCGGGCTGCCGGTGTTGCAGCGCCAGCCGTTGCGGCGTCTGGGCTACCGCGCCCTCTGCCTGCTTTCGGCTCTCCTGCGCCATGCGAGCCTGAACCATCCGCTCGAGGGCGTCGAGTCTGGCATCGAGGCTGGCCGGGCGAAACGGTACGTCTGAGAGCGAGTTGCCGACCGCTTTGACGGTTGCTCCTGGGCCCGCGGCGACGCGGGCAGCGAGGAAGGCAATGGGCGGCGGTGGATTAGCTGATGGCACGACTGGCATTGCTGCTGCGGTGGCGACCAGTGAGGCTGTTTGCTCCTGCATGCGCGACTTCCGGCTCGTGGCGTTCGTTCACGGCTGGCTGGCTCAGGCAGCGTAATCCGGGTTGGCCGGCTCAGGCAGCGTAAGGGTTGGCCGGCTCGGGCAGTGGAATCCGCGTTGGCCGCTCAGGCAGCGGAATCCGGGCGTTGGCCGGCTCGGGCAGTGGAATCGGGTCTCAGATGAAGCCGCCGCGCCAATAGAGAGAGAGCTAACAAGCTGCCGAGCCCAAATCACTGTACAAATCACTGTGAGAGTCGTGATTTCTTGTTGGTTAATAAAGGCTCCGCATGGGTACAAAGGAGATATTTTTAAGGGGACACAGACATGTTCATACTGCTCTAGTTATCTGCTGGCGCACTCTCCTCATCCATCTCGCTGGCACTCTCCTCATCCATCTCGCTGTCCCATTCGCTGCCACTACCGGTACAATCGCGGCATCCGGTCCTACACTCCCAGTGTGAGTACTGCTCGCGCGCGCACTTGCACATGTAATCATGATCTATTGGACAGTGAGAGCGGCACGGGTTTTGCATGTCCTCGCTGTCAAGGGGCGCAAAGTCCGTGTCGTAGGCAAGCAAGAATGTGGACTCGAGCACCAAGCAGTCACTGCATGTTTCACATCGGTGTAGCACCACGTGCACGTCGGGCAACGGCAAGTATACCTCCTCAGCTCCTGTCACGGGCACGATCTCCAGAAGCTTGTGTGTGTCGGCCGTTGTGAGAGGCTCTTGCAGGTGGAGGCGCTCAAGCATGCGCCGTGCAATCGTCTCCGATAGCTCAAACCTGCGCCGCGTTACCTGCCCGTATGCGTTGGGGGCGATTGCCTCCCGGCCGAGCTCGTAACGCGCATCCGGGTGCGGAGGCAGCAGCCGCACCCACGAGCCCACGCGCACGTCGCCTCCCGCCATCGCCTCGACATGCTCCGGCAGCGCATATGTCTGCCGCTTGACGAGGTAAAAGCTCTCGCCCTCGAGTCCCCAATGCTGCCATGGATGAAAGGCGACGACAGTGCCTAAGTGGTTCATGGCTCGATCAGGCTCGTCCTCCAAGTTGCTGCCGTGGTGCATGTCCACGAGCTGCCCGACGCTCGGCCACGGCTCCACCGCGTACGGCGAGAGCAGCACCGGCTTCTCATCCTCGCTCCCGTCGAGCAGCACTTGGTGGTGGTGCTTTGGCTCCGTGATTGCCACGCGGCCCGAGGCGTCAAGCTCCAGGCTCATGATGTGCCGCGGGTCGTTTGGCACCGGGTCGGGGAAGCACAGCTGGCCGCGCTCCAGCATGGTGCCGCACTGCCCAGCAAGTTCTCCCTCAGATACACGCACGCGCTGGGGCACGAACAGGAAGCGCTCGCCGAGCAGCCGCTGCTCCTCGCGCTGGCGGATGGAGGCAAAGCTCTCGCCAAGTGGCGGGCGCGCCTTCTCCTTGGCTTGGCGGCGGTGCTGACTGACGACTTGGCGGCGGCGGTTGGCATCAGCCTTCTTGGCCTCGGTGCCCGCCTTCTTGCGCTTGGCCGCCCCGCTCTCATACTGCCGCTCGCTGCGCTCCCTCGGCTGCCTGTTCTTCTCGTGCTGTTGCCGCTGCCTCTTCGCCCGCTCCTTCATGATCGCAGCACGTGCGGTCCTCTCCTCCTCGCTCGCATCTGCCGACAGCTTGGGCGGCGGCGGCTGGTCGGGGTCGGCGTGGTCGATCGAGCCACTGACGCTCGATCAGCCATCCAGCCAATGGATCGCGAGCACCACTTTTTTCGGGGTGGCCCTGGCACTCGTGTCGGCTGTATGTGTCTATGTACGTGCGAAGAATTAATGTAGGGGGTGGGTACCATACGAAGTAAACTTCTCCGTTGTACGATAAAAATCTCTCTCCAATAGAGGCTTTTGACAAACGTGAAAAATAAAAAGACACAAAAAGTCGTTTGACCCGCCGCCCAATGCTCCGCCGTTCGCTGCCGTGGTCTGCCGCCGTGCCGCCGCTCCTTACCGTGCCGCTCCTTCCGCGCCTCGCCGCCCTTGCCATTTATTCGCCGTCCCTCCTGCCGTGCGTTACCGCCGTGCCGCCGTACCGCCGCTCCTACAGTGCCGCGCCGCCTCCCACACGCACACACCTTACCTCCTGCTCGACCGAGTTTGCGCTGAGAAGTGACCCGAGCCGCCGGGTGGTGCCCCGCAGGCCGCAGCGACCTCGCTGGACCAGAAGAACCGGTCCGCGAGTGCTCCGCAGCAGCCTCGCTGAGCCAGAACGTCGGCTCGCGGGGGGTGGGGTGCTAGTATGAGCCCGACCCAGGTCGTAGTGTTCTTGCTCCCAGCGCTTGCGCTTCGGCGGTTAGTGGTGCACTAACCTCCGAGAAACCCTTCGGGTCGCTCCTCATCGCAAACCCTGTCAGCAGAGTCCTCAAAGGGAAAGGAGAAGAGCTAGGTAGGTAGGTAGGTAGAAAGGTGAAGAACAGCCAGGCTCGGACTGGACACCAACGCGGTATGGGTGGACGCTGGACAGATGATGACGACACGCACGAGCGACACACAGAGGTAGGTAGGTAGGTAGTAAGGTGAAGAACAGCCAGGCTCGGACTGGACACCAACGCGGTATGGGTGGACGCTGGACAGATGATGACGACACGCACAGACTAGGTAGGTAGGTAGAAAGGTGAAGAACAGCCAGGCTCGGACTGGACACCAACGCGGTATGGGTGGACGCTAGACAGATGATGACGACACGCACGAGCGACACACAGACACAAACAGGCTCACAAGACACACAGCCAGCTGGCTGCCACACACCCTGAGTAGGCGTACACATAACTCAGGGCCACATCCTCCCTGTCGCCCCCCCCAGCACTCCAAGGCACCAGAAGAACAAACAAGGGCACAACAAACAACAGACAACAGGAAGTGACAGCGAGGCTAGAGCAGACTACAATCACTGAAAAAGAAACCCGGCGACGAAAACGCTGCTCGCACGGCCAGCCGCCCCACAATCCCTTGCAACTCTCACAAACATTCGTCAATCACTCCCATCCGATGCCATGAGCTGGCTCGTCCTCCTCCTTCCGCTCGCCGCGGTCGCACACGAATACGAATTTCCTGCCGACCGCGTCCTCAGCGCGCTGAGCGACGGAGGCTGTCCGCCTGGCTCCGGTCTCCGCTCGTGGCTGTGTGACGCGCACATTGATATTGACCACTACGAGCTTGACAATGTCGGAGGCTTCAACATCAAGCTGGACGGAGTCCGCTGCTCCACCTTCAAGGTTGGAGACCTCTCCTCGGCCGTGTCGCGGCGCGGCGCGCACAACGTGACTCTCAGCGTGGCGGCGGACGAGCTGTCCTTCAACTGCTCCATCCGCCGGCTGGACGCGAAGCAGATCGCGTTCCCACACGCGGAGGCGATCGGCAAGGGCACCGCCGGCATCTCGGGCGCCACACTCCGCGCCGGCCTCGTCGCGCACCTGACAGAGGGCGTGCCTCGCTCTGTCGTGACGGACGAGCGGAACTGCAGCCTGGCCGTGGACCCGAAGAGGGTGGAGCTCGACCTGACGGGCAACATCTGGATCAAGCTGATCAACGCCATCAAGGGCGTCCTCATCCAGACCGTCGTCGGACAGCTCCCCTCCATCGTCACCAAGCTCCGGAGCAAGGCTCTCCGCGCTCCGCCCTTCCCTCCCTCCTCCTCCTTCCTGCTCCCCTCCTGCCGAATGCTCCTCTCTACTCCGCCACCCCGCCACCCCCACGCCCGCCCCCCTCCCTCACCGCCCACCCCCTCGCGACAGGCGGACGCCGCCCTCGCGCCCCTCGTCTCCAACCTCACCGCCTACGCAGAAGCCGCCCCGCCGCCAGAGCTGCCCGAGCCGCCATACAAGCCGGCCCTCGCAAACTGGTCCGCCTCGGAGGCGGTCGCGGTCGCAGACTACGTCCTCAACGACGTGGTCGGAACCGACGGCCCCCTCGGCCTCAACCGGATCGCCGAGCTGCTCACCAACGGAACCGGCTCCCTCGCGCTCAACGCGTCTGGGCTGCTGCCGCCGCTCGAGCTGCCCGTCTCGCGGCTGGGCAACCTGTCGCTCAACGTCTCCCTGCTCAACCTGTCCCACCTCCCCTCCTTCGACGAGCTGAACCTGCTCATCCCCTCCCCCTCCGAGCCCCTCACCCTCCGAGCCGCCGCCGGCATGACCAAGCTTGGACCCGGCGCTCTCATTCAGAATTCCTTGTTGATCACCGCTCGATGGTTCTCAGGCATGACCAAGCTCGGGCTCGGCGCTCTCGCAAAGCTGCGCGTCACGCCAGGCGCCCACCAGCGCCGCCTCCCTCCTCACT